ATTTATCTCAAATGAGTTTTTCTGGATATTGAAAATCACTTATGGATTTTTATTTTTTTATTATATCAATATGGAATATTATGTTGATTAGTTTTTGGATGTTAAATCAACCTTGCACACCTGGTTGAAATTCCACTTGGTCATGGTTTATAATTCTTTGTCTAATTTCTAGATTCATGTTGCCAATATTTTGCTGGGGACATTTGCATCCATATTCAAAAGATACATAGGTCTGTAGTCTTCTTTTCTTGTGATACCTTTTTTCTGGTTTTGGTGTCAGTAATACTGGGCTCTAGAATGAGTCTGGAAGTGTTCCATCCCTTTAATTTTTTTTTAATTTTTTAAACTTTATTTATTATATATAAGAGATAGAGAGAGTGCAAGCAGGGGAGAGAGGCAGAGGGTGAGAGGGAAAGAGAGAGAGAGAGAGAGAGAGAGAGAGAGAGAGAGAGAGAGAGAGAGAGAATCCTAAGCAGGCTCCACACTCAGCATGGAACAGGATTCGGGGCTTGGTCCCACGACCCTGTGATCATGACTTGAGCCGAAATCAAGACTTGGATGCTCAACTGACTGACCCACCCAGGTGCCCCTAGTATTCCATCCTTATATATTATTTAGAAGTGTTTCTGAAGAAATGGTTTATTCCTTAAATGTTTGGTAGAATGCAGCATCGATGCCATCTGAATCTGGTCTTTATTGTGTGTGTTGTGTTGTATTTTTTTTTTTTTTTTACTCAGTATTTTACATGATACAAATCTATTTGGATTGCTTATTTCTCTTGAGTAAGTTTTGGTGTTTGTGTCTTTTTAGGAACTTTCCAATCTCATCTAAGTTACCTAATTTATTGACATATACCTGTCTGTAATAATATTCCTTAATAAGATCTGTAGTGCTGTCTCTTATTTCATTTCAGATTCTGGTAACTGAGTCTTTTTGTTCTCAGTCTAGTTAGAGCTATGCCAGTTGTATTGATTTTTTTCAGAGAACCAGCTTTTGATATCATTGACTTTCTCCATTGTTTTTCTATTCTCAATTTCATTAATTTCCTCTCTAATCTTTAAAATTTCCTTCATTCTGCTTCCTTTAGATGTAGTATGCTCTTCTTTTTCCAGTGTCTTAAGGTACATGGTTAGTTTATTACACTGAGATGTTATTCTTATCTAATGTAAGGATATATGTCTATAAATTTCCCTCTAAGTACTACTTTGACAGCATCTCATAAATATACTGTATCTGTTTTAATCTTTTCAGTGTCTTTTGTCATTTCCTTCTTAATTTCTTTTTTGAGTCATCAATTATCTGGGTTGTTTAATTTACACGTATTTGTAAGCTAATTAAATTTATTTTTGCTGTTTCACAATTTCATTCCATTATGGTCAGAGAACATATTTTGCATGACTTGTATGTTTTTTTTTTAATTTATTGAGGTTTATCTTGTGGTGTAGTTTATTGTCCATCCAGGACAATGTTCCATATGCACTTCAGAAGAACTTGTATTTGCTGGTTTTGACAGGTATGTCCTATAGATGTCTTTTAGGTCAAGTTGGTTTATAGTACTACTCTAGCTCTATTTCTTTGTTATCTTCTGCCCAGTTTTGTATTCATATTGAAAGTGGAATATTGAAGTCCCCAACTACTACTGTTGAAGTATGTATTTTTTCCCATTTCTATCAGGTTTAACTTGATATATTTTCATGCTCTCTTATTAGGGGTGTGTGTGTGTGTGTGTGTGTGTGTGTGTGTGTGTGTGTGTGTTAGTGTATTCATAATTGAATATCTTCCACATGGATTGAACCTTTCATCATTACAAAATGCCCCTCCTTATTTCTGGTAATATTTTTAAAGATTTTTTTGTCTGATATTAATACAGACAATCTAGTTTTCTTGTGGTTGCTGTTTGCATGATATTGCCCATACTTTTACTTTCAATCTATTTGTATTCTTTACAAGAAGCATTCAGTTTGCCTATTGACATACAAAGCAGGGCAAGGTAAAGAGATTTAGCAAACTAGACGCTCTCTGACCTTGTTTTTCAGCCTTTTGTGTTGTTGCAGAACTCACAGTTCTATTTTGAATATCAGAAGCTTTAGGGAAACTAGCAGATTTTCAAAAATTTACAAATATTTGAAATTCCCATAGGGCAATATACCAAAGGTTTTTTAATTATAAACTCAAATATTATGAAGTCCCTGTTTTCAGGCATTAAGCCTATTCATCTCTTAAAAATACAGTGATTTATCTAGTTTCTTAACAAATTTTTTGTCTACCAATTATGAATCTTAAAGAATCCTGGCCATTGTGTTAAACTAGAAAACAATCTAGTACAGGTTACCTTTTATGTACAAATAAAACTAGAAAAGTTTTTTTATACTGTATCATTATGTATCCTTTATAACTTGACACATTCTCCTACAGTATTTGAAATCCAGGTATTATATCCTATTAAATCCTATTATATGCTGTCTCACTTATTTGAATCCTATTGGGATTCAAAGAAATGGATACGTAAATATAAGTGAATATTTTATATGTACTTTTTTATGAGGGAAAAGTTATGTTGGAAGTTTGCTAGAAAGCTTAGCACATCATTCACGTCATGAATAAGTGAGATGGGCTTGTAGAACTATTAGTATTTGAGGAGCTGAGTCCCCACATTTCCAAATGGAAACCAAAACTATCCTTATAATTCTCACTTTGTTAATTGTGTACTGCATTCTAAAGTTAAGGCTGTCATGAGATTTTTAAGAGTGTGGCTTGTTCATTACTAATAAGATTTAAAAATTTTCTACAGAGAACTTGAACATTTTTAAAAAGACAAGTAGATTTTTTAGAAAAAACTGAAATGATCAATATAAAAAATATGGGCTGTTATTATTTATATGATTTAAGAATTTTCCTCTAAAATAAATATTAAATAAAAATAAAAACAGGTCTAACAATTTCTGTGTAGATATTATATAGTTCTTTGGTATTGCTGATGTTACACTGTGATTGCTACTATATTTATTACATCTTCAGCTTTGGACTAGAAAACAGTTATTGAGAGTGTAAAATTAGAGAAAATGTGAGAGCTACAGAAGCACTTAGGAAGAAGAAATACCACACAGAATAGAGATGGACTTAGTGACTTTTTTCCGAACACAAAATTCTACTGCAGGAAAGAGAACAGAGAAAACATCTCAATAATTCATGCAAACCTCACTAGGAATCTCTTTTTAAATATTTCCTTAGTTTCTAACCAGGTACAGTGTTCTGGTATTGATAGGACCTTAGAGTTATTTCAAAATTAGATGAAATGATAGCACATCCCCTGAGTTCCATCCATACACATTTTATGAAATATTTATCCAGTGTTGACAGATTGAGATCATCAAAGTCAATAGAGCTTTTTGGATTACATTTTTCTTGGGAAATTTACAACTGGTATAGCAAGAGATAAAAGGAAGAGGAAACTTTTGTGCTTATTCCTAAATTTTTTTACTCTAAAAATTCTTTAAGAACACTACATTTTGTGCAATTTAATTGTAATATCTACAAACAACAAAATGAACAGCAAACAATCATAATAAAAAATTGTATAAGCTACATTTATGATATCTACTTGCAAATTAGTATTTCTAGTTTATGCCCTTAAGTTCAGAAATTGATTTTGATTGAAAAACACCTCTGTAACCTAAAATTATGTATATATGTTTGAGAGTTTTGTTCAGTTAGATAAATTTGTCCCACAGTGAGGTACCTTAGTAATGATTGGATTTTTCTTTCCCATTTCAATTTCATGGATATTATCTTTATTATAGTGCTTTCCTTCAGTGTATGTAATAGCTAATATTTGGAGATTTTCTACCTACTGTGTCAACAAGAAACTCTGGTACCCAAATAAGGGCAGTTCTCTGCTCCCTATCATGCGAGAGTACAGGAAGCTCAAACAAGAGTCATATTTCTAGGACGTCTCTTCTGACATCTGCTTCTCTCTTTTTTTTATTTAAAAAAAAATTAACTTTTATTTATTTTTGAGACAGAGAGAGACAGAGCATGAACGGGGGAGGGTCAGAGAGAGAGACACAGAATCTCAAACAGGCTCCAGGCTCTGAGCAGTCTGCACAGAGCCCAACATGGGGCTCAAACTCACGGACCGCGAGATCATGACCTGAGCCAAAGTTGGCCGCTTAACCGACTGAGCCACCCAGGCGCCCCTGCTTCTCTCTTCTTGATGGGAAGAGGAGTCTGATGTTCTGCCTCTGTGGGTTTCACAGAAGTATCTCCCAGGCCAAGTGCTGCTAAGACAACTTCCCCAAAAAACTACGGAACTCTTCTTTTTTCTCCTTCAAAACTGTACCCCTGAACCCCATTCCTTTTCCTGTGTTTGGTAGTAAAAAGGTATTCCAATACTTTATCTTAAAAAAAAAAAAGAAAGAAAGAAAAGAAAGAAAAAAGCTTGACAACTTTATATTCTTTCCTGTACTGAAGAATGCAGGAAGCTTCAGTAGGAGGGCATTTTGCAAAAATTAGATTAGCATTAAAAGCTTAATTTACTTTGTTGCCTTTCAGGACTTGGTAGAGATGGATATTGGGGGACCTATAGTTACTGGGAAGGAAAGCAGGTCATGGAGGGTCAGTAATGGCATTCAAACCTGGAAGGCCATCCTCAAGAGGAGGCTTATAGGGGCTGTAACTTCAGACGGAAAGAATGAAACAAAAACAAAAACAAAAACCTATGTCAACAGTGATAACAATATTGACTGTCCAAATTAAATGGAAATAAAATTCTTGAAGCTCAAGTACCTCAAAAGCACATCCTACAGTTTGCTGACTGGATTATTGCCTTTATGAAAAATGGAAGTCATCTTTGACTTACTAAGAGACCCTAACATTTCTGATGGTCTTTATGTGCAGTTGTGGATTATTTGTTTAATTTGGGAAAAGAATCAATTTTAATTGAGGACTAACCCATGTTAATGAAGGAAACGCGTACTTAAGATACTGTCTTTCCCTCCTAGCTCAGGAGTGCTCTCCTGGGGGGCACCAGATTCTTCAGAGCCCTTACCGAAGTGTGCATTTTGACTCGTTGCAACTCCAGCATTCTCCCTTTCAAAACCTGGTGTGTGACCGTTCCCTGTCTCCCGGATGGTATCGGTTTCTCATCTTTGACAGACCTGCTGAGATGCCAACCAAATGTGTTGAGGTATTTCAACTCACTAAGAACTACATGTGCTTTTCCTTATGTATGTTTTTTTTTTTTAATTTTTTTTTTCAACGTTTATTTATTTTTGGGACAGAGAGAGACAGAGCATGAACGGGGGAGGGGCAGAGAGAGAGGGACACACAGAATCGGAAACAGGCTCCAGGCTCTGAGCCATCAGCCCAGAGCCCGACGCGGGGCTCGCACTCACAGACCGCGAGATCGTGACCTGGCTGAAGTCGGAGGCTTAACCGACTGCGCCACCCAGGCGCCCCCGTCGTTATGTATGTTTTCATGAGGGTCGAATCTTGTTACAACCAGTTTATTTCTCACTCTAAAGTATTATTTTGCTTGTGTATCAAGATTGAGTTAATCCAAAGAGGTATTTCCATGTTCCCTGTTCTCATGGTAATAGTAATAGCAATGGTTAATGTTATGCTCATGCAGTCCACCAAGGGTTTTTACCTACAATATCTTATGTGGTTTTTACAATGGCTCTACAATGTAACCTGTCATCATTATTTCCATCATATAGCACAGGAAACATAGATTCTTAGGCGAAACACTCCTACTAGAGTTACCCAGCTACCCAAACACCCAAGTTTTGATCACAGACCACCAGTCCCCGGAGCTCATGTCCTGAACCACACACAAGTAACCTGCTAACAGTAAAATAATGTGTATTCCAAGTACTTCATTTCTTGTCAGTCTTAAATAGAAGGTTCATTCCCCTTATTGTTACTCACCTTTTGTGAATTATGCAGAAGCAGGAATTATTTTCCCTTTTAAACACACAATGTAAAAAAACTCAGTAAAAATATCCAAATTTTAACAATATTTAATTTTAAGTGGTGACATTGTGGCTATCTTATTTTTTCCTTTTTGTTTATTTGCTTGTCACTTTTGTGGCATTTTGTTTGTGATAAACAAAAAAAATCAGAATTTAAAAGTAAAATTTGAAGAAATTACAGGAAATTCACTACATCCTTAAATATTTGTGTTCTTTTTCTTTGGCTGAACTAACTATAGTTGAATCTAGAACCTGACACAAATGTAAAGGTGAGATGATTCCGCTGGGTCTGTGCCCCCATGAGGAAGTGTTCTCTGCCCCCACTCTTTCATCTCCTACTTGAACCAAGGCTTTGCAGCATCGAACTGGAGAAGTGATCTTTTTTTTTTTTTTTTTAACTCTACAGGTTAATACATGTCTGTGTAAATAAATGTCTATTATAATGTTTAAAGTAATTTATGTGAACTACAGAAAACTTAGAAAATAAGAGACATTTAATAGAATAACATTCATTCATTCATCATCCACCCACACAGTCATACCTCCATTCACATTTTTCTGTCATTCCCTCTTTTCATACTGTTCTTTAAGGTTCCTGCTACATGTTAAATTGCATAACATGCTTTTTTCAGGTACCATTAAAGCATTAACTTTTTCCTATGCTGTTGAATATTCTTTAAAATTAATTTTGAACATAATATTCTATCACTAGTGTATTTAGTAAGATTATTTTTATAAGTACAATTAGTGGTTAGTATCTTTTTGATACATATAATTGTTTTTAGAAAATATAATGCTAATATTTCATTTCAGTAGCAGTAGATAAAAGTACCTTTTCTAATAATATTTATTTGTTTTGAGAGAGAGGAGAGAGAAGGAGACCGCAGAGGAGGGGGAGAGAGAGAGGGAGAGAATCCCAAGAAGGCTCAGTGCTGTCAGTGCAAAGCCTGACACGGGGCTCAGTTTCATGAACTGCAAGATCATGAACTGAGCCAAAACCAAGAATCAAATGCTTGACCTACTGAGCCACCCAGGTGCCCTTGTGATCTTAGTTTTTAAGTGGGTAATAATATATCATTAAAATAAAATAAGTATAATAATGTGACAATATAATCCTATTAAATAATATTTCCTATTAAATTCTTATTTGTCTTATATTTTTAAAATTATTATTTAAACACAACTATTAGTCTTTTCCTTTATGATTTCCTTTGCTATTAAGCATGGGGATAATAATAATACTGAGTGCTATAATCTGGCTAATAATTACTGAGTCATTGCTATGTAGAAATTATGTTGTGTACATAATTATGTTTATAGCTCACCATAGTACAGTGTGGTACATTCTGCAATCCACCTAGAACAAAAGGAAAAGATGGATGTTGAGTTCCTGTCCCAAGGTCATGCATTTAGCAAGTGCCTGGGTCCTTCCCAAGTCATATATAGTTTCTTCTTATTTTTCCTGGATTAGTTTTCTGTTTAATTCCATTTTCCATCTGGAAGTGATTTTGCTAATTGGCTTCAAGTGAGGCTTTAACTTCCTTTCTTTCCCCAAATCACCAACCAGTTGTTTCATCACCAAATTGTGAACAGTCCTTTCCTTCTCCCCTGATTTTTGATACCTCTTGAACCATGCATTAACTTCTTACATATACTATATTTAGTAATTTCAGAAGAAATCTCCAAGGTGAGTTTATCTTTTTGCTCTGTATTAAGATAACTTCAGATTCACCTATCTTACCTTAAAATACATTGCTATGATAGTAAGTTATCTGATACTGAATTTCTCTTGTTCATAATACAAAAGTAACACAGAATAAATTTAAATTGAGTAAGGTTATATTAATTATGAGCAATCTACCTTAAATTTAATATTCCATAAAGTTACTTTTATAGTACAGGTACAAGTTATTAGATTTTTTAATGATAACTTAATATTTTAAAGGTGGTTCAGAAAAAAATGCAAAGTTGATTTATCTATCACATGTGAAAATAACTTGGATTTTCAACTTTTGTTTTCTCTATTGCAAAAGATGAATCACTGTGGAACACAGGCACCCATCTGGCTATCTCTGAGAGATTCAGAGACACTGCCTTCACCTGGAGAGATCAAGCAACTGACAGCTTGTGCCACATGGCATTTTTTGTTTAACACTACAAAAGACTGCTGTCTTTTTCAAATCCCAGTGTCTGTAAGAAACTGTGGAAAATTTTTTGTGTACTTACTACAGCCCACTCAAGGATGTATGGGATATTGTGCAGAAGGTAAGAAAACATGAGTAATATCCATGAACTACTAGTCACAACTGTGTGTGTTGCTCTGTTTGGGCCATTCTCTGGATAGGTTGTGTTGAGATAATACAAATCTCACTGAGTCTTGGTCTGCCACTATTGCTAGAGTGAAGCTAAATTTCTGGTTTAAATTGGCCAAATCTGTTTAGGATTTTTTACCAAGATCTTAAGTGAGCCAATATCAGAAATATTTGCTGATGTGACAGTATCAAAGTAGATTTCTTGCCATTCCTCCCATTGAACATAACGATTGAATTTGTTAAAACTTCTTTGGGTTCCTCATGCCCTTTCACCCTTTTTAATTAAAGGATGAGGATGGTGAGTGAAAGATGTCGTAGACTCTGGGTCTGGAGTTCTCTCTTGTCCAGCAAGAGAGCAGATGCAGGATTGAAATGCGAGAGAGGCTAATGTCGAGGAAGAGACGAGACATGAGTAAGGGTCCTTGCTCGTTTTTATTAGGATCAGAAGGCTTACAAGCTTGATGGACATGCACAAAGAGACCATGAAACCATGAACATTAACTCATGGGTGTGAGGGAAAGGGGCTTTTGAATATATGTGGCGTTAGGGGTTTGGGTCAATACAAAACAAAGTCCTGGTGCCAGGCAGATGGTTGTTTACGGCAGGCATGAGTCTGTTTATCTTAGCTAGCCTAGGGAATAAGACAGAAAGAGCGTGCTACCATCAGGGTCAACAAGGCACCTTTCTTTTGCTAATTAGCTCCACTCTGGGCAACTTTGCCCTGCTGCCATCCATAGCCCTCTTTACCTGTTTACCTATTTTGGTCCTTCCTTCCTGTGAAAGCAGCTTTCTGCTATTGTACTATGTTGGGGGCTGCTTCCACCCTGAATACCTAATCTTGTTTACCTCATCTTGGATGTTTTCATCCTGAAATTTCCTATTCCTATACCTTTGTCATATACTGGGGGCCTTTTCCCTGTTTACTAATCTTTGATGCTTTCATTCTGTGGCTTCCTATTACTTTATGCCTTGTTAACCCATGCATGCAAGCTCAGGGAATTCCTAAGCTTATTCCACACAAAAAGATATCATGCAAATGTGTTTTAAGTTATTTCGTCTTTCATTCATTAATATTGATTGAATGTTTATCCTTTGCCAGAAATTATTTTAGGCCTTAGGGTTATGGTAATGAACAAGACAAATGAGATATCTTCCCTCATGGAACTCACATTCTAGTGGAGTGCCTCAGACATAGAAAAATAAACTGGATATGACTCAGAGAATAAAATAAATATCCACGAGTCCCTACTACATCAAGACATGATTAGAGAAATAAATTGATGGAAGAAAGGAGACAAACCTTCCTTAAAGAAGAATTGCAAATATTTGTAGTTAGTATCCCACATAGAATATGGGGCCTAATTCCTTTCATTTTGATTGTGAGCAGTATTTAGTGACTTGTTCCCAAATAATAGTGTATAGAAAGGAAAATACAGTGATTTTATAAGAGAGAAATGTAGTAGGCACTGTATTAACCAAGTGAGCAAGGTTAATATCATGAGTGATAATGTATGTTGATATCAGTTACCTGCTGATAACATGCAATAAGATGTACTTCTCCTTTGTGGTATTCTTCCCTAAAAGCCATAACCCCAGTATAATCATGAGAAAATTCATACAAATCCAAAGTGAGAAATATTATACAAAACACCTGTGAAAAATACTCTTCAAAAGTGTCAGAATCATGGAGAGTCATGAGAGAGTGAAAAAACTGTCACAGATTGGAAAAGATTAGGGAAACATGATGAATAATGCAATATGATGATATCCTGGATTGAATACTGGAACAGAAAAGAATGTTAGCAGAAACTGGTAAAATCCAAATAGACTTTTCAGTTTATTTAAGAATAGAGTCCTAACTGGGACACCTAGGTGGCTCAGTCGGTTAAGCATCCGACTCTTGATCTCAGCTCAGGTCATGATCACACGGTTGTGAGTTTGAGCCCCACATTGGCTCTGTGCTGACAGCACAGTGCCTACTTAGGGTTCTCTCTCTTTCTCTCTCTCTCTCTCTACCTCTCTACCTCTCTCTCTCTCTCTCCCCTTGCCCCGCCAAAATAAATAAATTAAATAAACTTAAAAAAAAAAAAAGAATAGAGTCCTAAGATAAATTTCTTAGTTTTAACAAATGTATCATGGTTTTGTAATATGTTAACATTAGTGAAAGGGTATTATTACCAGGAAAGCTCCATATTATTTTTGCAACTTTTATGTGCATTTAAAATTACTTTTATTTTATTTTATTTTTTTTTAATTTTTTTTCAATGTTTATTTATTTTTGGGACAGAGAGAGACAGAGCATGAACGGGCGAGGGGCAGAGAGAGAGGGAGACACAGAATCGGAAACAGGCTCTAGGCTCTGAGCCATCAGCCCAGAGCCCGACGCGGGGCTGGAACTCACGGACCGCGAGATCATGACCTGGCTGAAGTCGGACGCTTAACCGACTGCGCCACCCAGGCGCCCCTAAAATTACTTTTAAATAAAATGTTTATCACAAACTGAAAATAAAACAAAAAATAAAATTGTTTTTGGAAGCAAAATGTGTTATAAATTAGAGAAAACTGGTCAGTGCAATAGTGATTGACTGGCACAAGGATGCTGTCTCACCCAGAGTACCTGAAGAAGGTCTCTCTGACAGTTGATGAACTTGAGCTGAGCTCTGAATGAGGAGAATGAACCATCCGTGAAGACATATGGGGAAAGAGCATTCTAGGTAGAAAGAACAACAAATGCCAGTGTCCTTAGACAGGTATGAAGATGGCTGTTCAGTGAACTGAAGGAGGAACAACATGGCAGGAAGACTGAATGGATGAGACTTCAGAGATGAGATCAGAGAAGTAGGAAGGGGACAGAATCTGTAGGGTATGTTGACCGTGGTAAGAACTTAGATAGTCATAACTGCAGTATAAAGCCTTAATGGGATTTAAAATAGGTAAATATGATCTATGGATTGTATTTAGAAGACTCCATTGAAGAGGCTGTGGAAAGACAGTGGTGGCTCAAAGGTTGGAGAAGGAGGAAATGGTTTAGACTAGTGGCAAAGAAAAGAGGTTATTGAGTTGGGATGTCTTTTGGAGGCAGAGCTCATGCATTAGATATGAGAGAAGGTGGAAAGAAAGGAACCAAGGACAAGGCCTAGGTTTTTTGCTTGAGCAGCTGAGATAGGAAAGCAACACATTAGTTGGGGAGAGAAAGGAATGGACAGTTCTGTTTTGGCTTGTTATCTAAGAGAGGACATGAGATATACAGACATAAAATGCACAGCGGATTCGTGAGCCTGCCACTGACCATGTTGTTGACTAAGGATGTTGGAGAAGAGGGTAGTTCCCATAATACACCATCATGGAGCTCACAATAGATAATTGAACTTAATGAGTTTTTTGGGTTTTTTTTCTCTGTGCTCAATTATGACTGTGAACTCTTTGAAGACAATGTACCCTTTATATCAAGGTCTCATGACCTCATGCCCAGTACCAAGTAAGGACACAACAAATGCACATTAATAGAAGTGTTTAATAGAACTAGTGACCCAACTCCTCAGATACAAGGAGCTCAAAATGGAAAGAAGCTACATAATGGTGATTTTTTTACTTGGACTGCTTAGACAGGAATGAAGCTGATAATTGAGGGATTTATTCTTGGTTGGGGATGGAGAAAGTTTGCTGATATGGGACCAAATTATGGGAGGAAACCAATATCCCTCTACTATGTTATCTGGATTCCTCCATATGTAGGAGACTGACAATGCTAGGAGATACTGTTCTGGATTAGTGCTCTTAAACTAGGCCAAACACTTGATTTAGCAAACAGTGACAATCGTGTTAGTAATAGCTATGAATATTTTCATCTTGAGGTTGTTAGATTATCCAAAAACAAAAAACAAAAAAAACTACAAATAATAGCTATGGCAAAACAATGGCTAGGAATATACATGGAAACACAAATTGCAATGAGTGGTGTGAATGAGAAGATTAAAAGTTGCTATGGGTGTGCCTGGGAGGCTCAGTGGGTTGAGTGTCCAATTCTTGGTCTTGACCCTGATCATGGTCCCACGATCATGGGATCAAGCCCCACATTGGGCTCTGTGCTGAGTGTGGATCCTGCTTGGGATTCTCTCTCTCTCTCTCTCTCTCTCCCTCCCTCCCTCCCTCTCTCTCCCTCCCTCCCTCCCTCTCTCCCCTTCTGCTCCTCTCCCCCACTCATGTTTTCTCTCTCTAAAATGAAAATTAGAAAAAAAAGTTGCTGTAGATGAGAATACCAAAGGTGAAGGAGGGTGAAATTTATAATGAGGAACCACAGAAGAAAGCCTCTTCTGAGAAAAGGGCATTGACATTGAGAGTTTGAGGGTAAACAGTCCTGGGTCAGATAAAAAGTGTGGGGAACAACATCCCAGACAACAACAACAACAGCACGTAAAAGGCCTTAAGGCAATAAGTGTGGTGTTGCTCCCCAGAGTGAAAGTAGCACAGAGATGTTGGATCGCAAAGAGTGAGCAGAGTATTACAAGACATGAGCTGGAAAGGCAGCAGGGTCTGCTAGTTAGGGAACTCTTCATTTTATTCTGTGCTTTGAGAAGTCTTAAGAGAATTATCCTGAGAGCTTTAGCCAGTAAGTCTTCACATTTCTTACACAGCTGCTAGCCAGCTAAACCTGGTTGATAGCAGTATGTTCAGGAAGGACATCAACTGCTCAGTTAATAGAGCTAATGTTATCCATTAGGAAGGAGAGAATCCAGAGAAATGCACCTTGAGTGGCCAAGGTGAGAGATTTGAAAAATGTCTTTTTAGTATTTTTCAATATTCTTGTCATCAAAACAGTTAATTTTTACAAAATCTCTAATAATATTACCAAGTATATGTGGAAAATTGCATAGGTATTTCAATGGGAAAAAAACCAACAACATATCTACATTATTTTTTAAGAAATATTGATTACTATTAAAAATGAAAACAGAACTTTTATACCACGGAATATCATAAAAGCAATCACTTAGACAAAAATATTGTTTAGAGGGGCGCCTGGGTGGCACAGTCGGTTGAGCGTCCGACTTCAGCCAGGTCACGATCTCGCGGTCCGTGAGTTCGAGCCCCGCGTCGGGCTCTGGGCTGATGGCTCAGAGCCTGGAGCCTGTTTCCAATTCTGTGTCCCCCTGTCTCTGACCCTCCCCCGTTCATGCTCTGTCTCTCTCTGTCCCAAAAATAAATAAAAAACGTTGAAAAAAATTTAAAAAAAATATTGTTTACATTGAATTTAAAAACTCAATACATATAATTTGCATTTTTTGACATGCTGTTAATACTTAAAAAAATATGTCCTGTTAATGTCATTCCCGCCCATTCATTTTCTCAAGTTTGAATATTCAAAAGTATTTCTTTTATTCTTCATATTCATGTCCTCCTACTGGTTTTAACTAAAGAGAATTTCTGGGAGAAGATTGTTATTTTTTACTTTTTGTATATAAGTTATTAATCGATATACACATGAATTATCTTCTCTGATGTGCCAATAAAAGCTTACCTTGAAATACTATTTAAACTTGAATTAGAATTCCTGGATAGCAAACAGAAATGAATCACATAATCCTCTTAAGTGTCTTTTTCTCTTGCTTACCAAGAATCTGAAGCAGATGTTCTGGGCTGATGATGACTTGGCCATTTACAATGTCAGGCTGAGGTCTCTGTGAGTCTCTAGGCTTTTTCTTCACAGTGACGAGATGAAGGTCCAGTTTTTGCTCTTTATGTGCATTTTAGACAGGATAAAAGGGGAAGCCCAAAGGATAAAAAGAGAGCTTGTGCTAACTGGAACTTACCTCCCCTTAAGGAGCTTATTTGGAAGAAGTTTTATCACAACTACTTCAGAAGAATTCTTTGGCTTATCTCTGTCTTCAGAGGCAATCTGTGAAATCTCCTTTTTTACTTGGACATATTTCTGTCACCAGCTAATAGGCTATTGGATAGGCAACAATCCATCAGGTATATTTAGCTTAAAAATCATCAAAACAGGGGTGCCTGGGTGGCTCAGTTGGTTAAGCGTCCACCTTTGGCTCAGGTCATGATCTCACAGTTCATGAGTTCTTATAGCCCTGTGTTGGGCTCTGTGCTGACAGCTCGGAGCCTGGATCCTACATCAGATTCTGTGTGTGTGTGTGTCTTGCTCACTGCCCCTCCCCCTGCTAATGCTCTGTGTGTGTCTCTCTCTCTGTCAAAAATAAACAAATATTTTTAAAAATTTTTGAACATTATCAAAACAGCACAAATTAAAGAAAATTGTCACCATTTTAATAATATATTCTTATGATTTTTGTTTTTTATAACTTACATATAATTTTCATACAGTTTATCTACAATTTCTATAAGGCAAAGAAAACAAACGTTAATTCAAGATTATACTTATAATCAATGCCATTCAAGCAAAAAGATTTATATATGTTATTTACTGAGAAAAGTTCATTGGAAAATGTTTTTTCATATTTTCCATGTTTGTACTTAACAAGGTGGTTATTAGGTCTTTATGCTATACAAAGAGGCATTATATCAATTGGAAGTAGGCCATGAGAAGTTGAGGACATATACTATATACCCTACAGCACCCACTAAAATATGTGTGTGTATCTAATAGCCAATAAAATAGATAAGATACACAAAATACACCTTTTAGAGATACAGAAACAGGTGAAAAGTGCCAAAAGGACAAATAGAAAATAGCAACATGATAGATTTAAACCCTAGAATATCAATAATTATATTAAATATATGTGATCTAAACACCCCAATTGAAAGTCAGAAATTTTCAGATTGGGTAATAAAAGCAACACCCAACTACTGCCCAGAGAAGCCCATGTTAAACATAAAGAAAAATGAGGTTATAAATATGAGGAAAGGATTGACTTAGGTACCACAAATGACAAGAAATCTAGAGTGGCATTGTACATATCAGACAAAGTAAATTATTGAACAAAGAATATCACCTAGAAGACAAAGGGTCATTTCCTAAAGATAAAAGGATCAATTGAACAACAGGATAAAACGGTTCTAAATACTTATGTACCTAATAACAGAATTCAAAATACAGGAAGCAAAACTTACAGATCTTTAAGAAGAAATAGACAAATTTATGGTTCATGTTGGAGATTAACACTCATCAGTCAATAACTGAGCACATAGAAACAAAAACAAAAAAAAAATGGAGGAGAGTGGAAAGATTCTATCAATCAACTTGATCTAAATGACATTTAGAGAAGATTCCACAGATGACAGAACAACCCACATTCCTTACAAGTGCACCAGAAACATTTACCAAGATAGATTACATGCTAGGCCCTAGAGTAAGGAAATTAGAATATAAAAAAAAGTTTGGTGTTAGTAAAAAAAAAAAAACCCACTAAATATACTGTGAAAACAAGAGAGTTTACAGATCTGTGGGATCTGTAAAAAAAAAAAAAAACAAACTCAGTTTATATGTTAAGAAACTAGAAGCAGCACAAATGAGACCCAAAGTAAGCAGAAAGGAAATAACGATCAGAGTGAAAATCAATGGAATAATACACAAAATGAAAAAAGTAAAGGCAGAAGTTTCCAATATCAGGAATAAGAGAGGTGATAAAATACAGACTCTCCAGATATTAAAAGAATTATAAGAATAAAGAATTATTATGAATAACTGCCAATACATTTGACAACTTAAATGAAGTAGACAAATTTCTTGAAATACACGAATACTAGAGCTCATTCAAAAGAAAAAAATAATTTCAATGGCCCTATAATTGTTAAACAAATTGTATTTTTAGTTAAAATCCATTCCACAGATAAAATAAAACAAACAAACAAGAACCCTGGCCCAGATGGTTTGGGAATTCTTCCAAATAATAAAGGAGGAAATAATACCAATTTTACATAACTTTTCCAGAAAAATGAATGGTAGGAACCAAAAAGCTTCTGTAGAGCCAACAATACTCTCAAAGTAAAAGCAAGACACAGACATTCAAGAAAACTATATCCCTCATACATATATATGCAGATGGTATGATCATCTATTTAGAAAATCCAGTGGAATCTACAAAATAGCTATTGGAGCTAGTAAGAAGTAATACTGAAAGAAAAAAGATCAACATATAAAAATCATTTGTATTTCTTTACATACGTACTATCAGGAATTTTATCTAAAAATACTAATTATAGTACCAACTATATGAAATACTTAGGAATAAATATGGAAAAAGATGCACAAGACCTATAAAGTGAAAACAGTAAAACTTTGCTGAGAAAAATTGGAAAACTTAAGATAATGGAGAGATAAACCATGTTTATGGAACAAAGATCAATGTTAAGAAACCAATTCTCAAGGTAATTTATAGCTCTAAAACAGTCCTAATCAATATCTCAGCAAGCTTTTTTTTTTTTTTTTTTTGGAGATTGACAAATTTTCCTAAAATTTATATGGAAATTCAAAATATCTGCAATACCCCAAACTACCTTGATCAGGAAAAGAGTTGGACAATTTATAGTGACTTTCAGATTTATCCTAAAGTTAATCTGTAAAGTGTTATGTTTGCATCAAGATAGATCAGTGGATAAGAACAGAGCCCAGAAATAAATCAACACACATATAATCAACTGATTTTCAACACTAAATATAGTCAATTCTTTAGAAAAAGGACAGTAGTTTCAACAAATCGTTTATACACAAATTTTAAAAAATGAACTGCGATCAAAATGCGTATAAAAATATAACTCATAAAACAGGTACCTGTGTGGCTCAGTCGGTTAAGTGTCAGACTTCAGCTCAGGTTAGGATCTCACGGTTTGTGAGTTCAAGCCCTGTGTTGGGCTCTTTGCTAACAGCTCAGAGCCTGGAGCCTGCTTCTGATTCTGTGTCTCCTCCTCTCTCCCTGTCCCTCCCATGCTCATGCTCTGTCTCTGTCTCTCAATAATAAATAAACGTTAAAAAAATTTTTTTAAAAGGTATAACAATGAATCATTAGTTTGAGTTACAAATAACAGAAAACAAGTTGAAATAATGTTTAAAAATCATGAACTCTAAGGAGTTTAGGATGTGTCATTGAATCTGAGAAAGAGTTAAATAAGAAGGCCTCAGAAGATATGAGCATTAGAGCACCTCCCATGAGGTTAGCAACAAGAGTCTATACACATTCCTGTAGAACTTCATCATTGACCTGACTCTGCTCTCAAGTCCTTGTCTCTCAGTTTAAATTCTAAATTCTTCCAAGAAGCAATCTGATGAGCCTGTCTTTGTTCGAGTAGTTACCTTTGTTCCAATGAACCTAGTTTGGCATTGGGTTATAGTTATTACCATGACAGCTGTCAACTCATTTCTGTAACCCTGCACATGATTATAGGAGAAACAAGTTCCACAGAAGTGGTTCAAACCAATTGTTGTATAAATTTATGTAAATTTTAGTTTCATTACTTAATAGTGTAGACTAAAATTTAGGAAACAAGACATGAAAGCTTTAGTTGTTTTAAAATATGATTCCAAATTATCTCTATTTGATCCCATCCTGAAAAGGGAAAATTTTATTATAAATAAAAATGAGAATAAGTAAGTCTTAGTCTATTGAAACATACTTCTCCGAGGAATTGTCATTATGTATGTATTTATATCTTTATGCTCAATTGAATAAATATATAAACCTTAACCTTTTGCAGCTATTTCTGATGCAAAATTACACCCATGTGACCCTGATGAAATTGAAATTAGTGGTGACTGTGTTCGTAAGTATCAAATTTTATTTTTTTAACAATTTATAAACTTACAATTTCAAAGTTGTTTTGTTTATTCATTTCTCGAGAGAGAGAGAGAGAGAGAGAGAGAGAGAGAGAGAGAGAGCATGAGCAGGGGAGGGGCAGAGAGAAAGAGGCAGAGAGAGAATCCCAAGCAAGCTCCATGCTGTCAGCCGAGAACCTGATTCAGGGCTCAGTCTCACAAACTGTGAGATCATGACCTGAGCTGAAATCAAGAGTTGGACACTTAACTGACTGAGCCACCCAGGTGCCCCCATTTCAATGGGTTTTTATGTTCTGTAACTTACTTAGATGTTAGTTATGCTATTTGACTTCACCTCAGTCTCGTGACTATCAAAAATAAAAATCACTTTATCCTGCCTGTAAGCAGTAGTCCTGGAATTAGCAAATATATGGAGTTGGGCATGTCATACCCTACAGATATTGGTAGAATTCTTATATGGGGAAATATTTGGCAGTATATCGCAACAATATTAAAAATGTACATATATTTGTCCTCAACAATTCCATTTTCAAAAGTCTAGCTTATAGAAATATTAAAGAAGCATGTAAGTACTCTCTTTAAAACAGCATTTTTCTAATAATATGAAAAACTAAATTTCAAATATACAATAACTGCTGGTGATTCAATATTTTTGGTGTACCCATGATAAAATATTCTATAAACAATATTAAAATTCAGGAATACATTCTTTGATATTAGTAAATATTAATAGCATACTGTAGTTAAGAAATCAAAATATGTAGCACAATCTCATTTTTATTTTCTGAAAGCGATTGCGTTTATACCAAATAACTCTTGAAAGATAAACACCAAAAATGTTAATGGTACTCGTAATTTTTCTCCTCCTTCAAATCTGTATTTTTTTTATTTTCTAAATTAAATTTTTAGAAGTTGTTTACAAACTAAAAAAATCCTATGTCAATATTTCTTAAAATAACTCTAAATAGATTGTCTAATAAATTTATGATATCTACTTAAAGGATGAGAAGAGATTAAAATTATTATTGAAACTTTAGCGTTTTTGCGGGATATATTGGTCAAGTATATTGACGATGATATGAGAATATAATAAATGAATATGGGATTGTTGACACATAATTAACTAAGGTGTTTGATAAAATAAACCATAATGACAAAAAACAAATCAGGAGAGATTATATAATATTTAGATACCAGTTCTAAAAATTAATATGTTAATTAATATGTTAATTAATATGTTAATGGATTTTCCAGCTCCTTTTTCTACTCTTCTTTAAACAAGTTATTATTTTATCTGAAAGTCTCAGTTTAATTAAACACTGTGATTTAAGTTCTTAAGAGAACAAAACAATATCCCTAATAATAGTAATATTAAACATAAAGTATATTTGTTATACTTTATATATAACCTGCATAATAGGTTTGGATTATCTTTCTCATATACATATATTATAGTGAAATCGCTTTTCTTTTCTGAATAAGCAATAAATTTAAGCTATGTATGTATGTTGTACAGAAGGCTTATGCAATTATTGGGAAAAAATGCTATACAAAATCATACACAATCTGGGGAGATAACCCTTGAATGGAAATATTGAATCAAAAGTCAACAGCTTCAGGATAAAGTAGAGAATATGTTAACATATCCAGCAACTGTTAGTATCAGAATTGACAAAAAGGTACAAGCAGAAATAATTTATCTCTTGTTTTTTCAAACTTTTCTTTTAAATATATGTTGACAAAGTTTCTTTCATCTACATTGTTGTGAGCAATGATCTGTTTTTTCACCCAGATAGTTGATGCCATTTAAAATAGTGATTCAAAGTTTTAATTTTCATGAATTATTTTCTTTTCAGTTATCTGTCATCTCTTACTCTAAATAATCATTTCCATAGATAGTTCTTCCCTGTTTGGAAATAAGTTGAACTTCTTTTTCCTAATTTATGTAAGAGGAAATTTTCCCTCATATATAATTTTTTTAAAAACCAATGTACTAAAGAGTAGTCTATTATTTCTTTCAAATGTGAACATAATGATTTGACCTCATGTTTAAGATGTTTGGCAAGGTATTTGTTACTTAGATTAGGAGTGCCTGGGTGGCTCAGTTAATCATCCAACTCTTGATTTTGGCTCAGGTCATGGCCTCATAGTTTGTGAAATCGAGCCCCAAGTTAGGCTCAGTGCTGACAACACGGACCCTGCTTGGTACTCTCTCTGCCCCTTCCCTGCTTGCGTGTTCTCTCTCTCTCTCTTTCTCTTTCTCTCTCTCTCAAAAAAAAAAAAACAAAAAAACAAAAAACAATATTTATTACTCAGATTAATTCGAAAAAAATTCATTTGCTACTCGGATTTTGTAATTGAATATCTAACAAAATAGCAAGTTAAAATATCTTAAAATACACAAGGTTATTTTTTCCCTTATATTTAGGTTAGAATCCCTCAGAGTTTTCAAAAATCTATGAGAGGACTAAAAAAATTACTTTTGCAACTATTGTAAAATGACCATGTATATCCTAAAAAAAAATTGTACATTTTAGCACGTTTTAAATCTTGTAAAATTTATCACTTAGATATTTTTCTCTTTTCTAAAACAAAGGAAATTTTAAAAACTCATTTAGAAACATTTTAGATCCCTAAATTTAATCTTACGAATGACCAGAGCTGAAAATTGCAAAGTCTTCCCAAGTTCCTAGAGAAAATTTCAAACATTTTTAACATCAGAAAAATGAAAAGAGTAAGACTGTTGTTTAACACCTGATTTATTTCACTCAACAGTTTAATCAGTCCCGTAATGAGCTGCTCTTTCAACCCAGAGTAATGATGGGTTGAGTTATAAGAGGAAAATAGTAAGCCTTTTGAGTTTACATTATAATGACTTTTTTTTTTATTTTTAAATGTTTATTTTTGAGAGAGAGAGAGAGGAAGCAGGGAAGGGGCAGAGAGAGACGAAGACAGAATCCGAAGCAGGCTCCAGGCTCTGAGCTGTCAGCACAGAGCCCGATGCGGGGCTGGAACTCACAAACCGCAAGATCATGACCTGAGCAGAACAAAGCTGGACATTCAACCGACTCAGCCACCCAGGCACCCCTATAAATGACTACTTTTTAAGCAAGAAATTATAACGTAAAAAAAACCTTAATTTTATTTCTTTGTTCAATCTTTTAGAAAGGGAAATCTTTCATAAATCACTTCGAAGGAGGTGAATTACTTTTATGCTCAAGAGCTAGACTTTTTTCAAGGGTAGACACATCCAAAGTACATTAATATAAGCTTGATGAGCTGGTAAGTTTCTCTGCTATCAATATTTCTGTGATTATTGGGTCAAAAATAAAAATGTGCTGCTTTGCTGATTGCTAGATAATAGTTATCTTTCTGAATGTATTTTACTTTTCTTAATATAAATCCCTGAGCCGCAGTTTTCATGAGCTTTCTGCTTGTCATTATCCATTCTTTAAGATGCCTGATTGATGACAGATTATGCATTTTTTCCCCTCAGGTCAGCAGTTTGTCTCAGTGCCACCACCGCCCCCAGGAAGGCCAGAAGTTGTGGTGGAGCTGATTGAATCCAGGCTTTTCTGTAGGTGTGCTTTTGATGTTTCCCCTACAAGCACTTCGGTGGGATTTCTCATAACTTGGTCTAGGCTTTCTTCTCAAGAAATCAAAGAGGAGCTGAAGCAAGAGACCACAGTTCAGGCATTCTCTCTTTTAGAGCTGGATGGAATAAATCTCAGACTCGGAGATAGGGTATGTTCACATTTTTTTTTCTTTTTGTGAATGTATTGATTTTAAAAAATGAGTTTTTTAACATATCCTAAAAATACCTTCATCCCCAGAATACCAAGCACTAATGTTTTTCTTTTTCTTTTTTCCTTGGCAATTGTGCCAACTCAAATGATATTGGATGACTCCGTATCTTATTGACTACATATGAATATCTGCTGTTACCATTTGCTGAATTATCAATGAACCCTTATAACTTGATGCCTCTTTCTGGTTTTAAAATATGTTTTTATTCTTGAAAAATATTTTTATTTTTTTAATGATGATGTCACTTATCCACTTTTAAATATATCTTAAATACAAAGTCTACAACACTTTGATTTATGTTGAGGTTTGAATAGGTAATATTTTTAAATTGTGGAATTCTTCTCGATTTTCAAGCAAGTTTTCAAATTGTTTAGCTTCTTATTATCTTTTATGCATAATCTACTATAAGTTAAGTACTTAATTACAATAGTTTACACGTATTTTCTCCATAATTGCATTGCTAAATGATTATTCATAACTGTGTTCATAGATATTCTGTAGTGCTTCCATCTTTTTGTTGGAGAATCCACATGTACAAAGCTTAGCCATCGAAAGCCAAGAATTTTTTGCAGGCATTAAGGTATGTAGCCACGGGGATGGATCAGAAAGATTACTTCTCTATCACTGTGTTTTCTATACTGTGATCTGTGGATGCTGGTTCCAAGACCTCATCACAGACTGAACACTGAGATCCGAGAGTCTCTATTTTTGAAAAATTACCCAAATAATTCTAATGCACAACACTGTTCGAGGGCCCCCGTTAATGAACTAAAATTGGAATATACTTGCATATTTTTTGAGAAATAGCTCAAATTAGAATAAAAGTGGGGCACTTGGGTAGCTCGTCAGTTAAATGTCTGACTTTGGCTCAGGTCATGATCTTACACTTCATGAACTGGAGCCCCGCATCGGGCTCTCCACTAACATTGTGGAGCCTGCTTAGAATTCTCTCTCCCTCTCTTTCTCTCTGTCCCTCCCGAATTTGTGCTCTCTCTCTCTTTCTCTCTCTCTGTCAAAATAATTAACTTAAAAAAAATTAAAAATGAAAGCTTTATTCCCATAATTCATTCTATCACATGTCTAAAAGTTAGATTATTGATATTTAGTTAGCATGCAGGTTGGAATACAAGTACCAGGTCAGGTACTGGAGCCTCTGACTAGAGTAAAATTGACCCAGAAATCTGGGCTCTATGAACTGTGAAGATGGAGGTAACTACACAAGGCAATGTCTGTGGTCACTGCTGGTATCATGGGAGGTCCAAGCACAGGATCTGCTGCTATTACAGCAGATGAGCAGTCATCCAGGGAATCCAGAAGTGGTGGAATGAATGGGGCAATATCATGAGGTCTAGGCAGACAGGCACTGTACACCCCCTGTGGTCTCAGCCACAGGACTGGAGTTTGACCTGGACTCATCTCTAGTTCAAGGACAAGATGAGACAATCAATAGATTGTGTGAATAGGACTCAAAATAGATTGTGAGAGCCAAGACAAAAACTGGTCTGGAGAAAGTCCATTTATACACAGTAGGGACCAAGGAAGGAGTGAGAAGAGTAACCATGTTGTCAGAAGAGTATAATCACAGTAGGAGGAGAGAAGAGCTCATACCTCGGGGAGGCAGAACCTTTGGATCTCCATTGGTGAACACTCAGCAAAAAACATCCAGGTCATTGGTCAGCCCCCAGGAGATGTTTCTAATTAGGCTAGTAGGGAGCTAGCCAAGAATTCAGATGGAGTAAAAACTTCCTGCCTCAAAAAAGGATTGGCCCATGAACTGGGATGGGACCAGTCCTAGACTTCAGTAGTTAGTAATCCAACTAAGGAAGACAGAGGCTGCAACATAAGCTTGAGATATTTGAGGTGACAATGATATTTTGATTTATATATGCAAAAATACTTAGATTTCTAACTTATGTTAAGGGTGATATTAATCTCTCAGAATAAACACACTCATTTGTGAGTCAGTAAATGTTAACAAACAAATGAAATCTCTGTGTCTGTGCCCATTCCCCAGTGCCCATCCCAGAACCAGAATCATCAAGGCAGACTCCTACCAGACTGCCTACCATGTTGGGGAACCAAATTATCCCTCAGCTCAGGGCAGTACAGTGACTCCGTGTACTCTGCTATGTGCTAATGTTTTTAAAGATTTGGTTTTAATTGATCTTATTAAATTGAAAATTTCAGGGCTTAAGTTATTACTCCCAGCTTATTTAGCAAAATAGGAGCTGTTAAGAAAAATGCTCTTGTAAAATTTTATCTTAGGAATAAATTCTATTTTGATATGACTACATATTTTCTTATACCAGTTACACCCTGAATTAAGCACTATATCAGAAGATGGGAAAGAATATCGCCTGAAGATAGAGAGCACAGTACCTGTCATTTGTTCTGAATTCAGTGAGCTTGACCAGGAATGCAAAATCTCATTAAAACTGAAAACTGTTGATCAAGGTAATACACTAAATTCACTTAATTTTATTACTGGATTTCAAATAATAATTAATGGTTTTTTTTCTTCTAGAAAAAGTCACTGGAGAGTATGCATATAATTAATTATGTTGTGTGTTTACATCAAATTATAGCTCAGCCATATTAATGATATGGGTCCATATTATTGACTGTCAAAACAGTCTATGTTGCAATTCACATTTATCCCTCCTGGGCTCATAGCATGTATTAAAAAAAAAAAAAAAACAGTGATGAACAACTCCTCATCATCATCTTTTTCTTCCTCCTTTTCATTCTCGTCCTCCCACCTACTTTTTTCTTTGCTTTGTTTTCAGAGATGGAGAGACAAACTGCTCTTTAAGATTTTCCGAATATCCCTAACTAGGGAGGTATGATATGTTATATTAACTTAAATTCAAGCTTATGCAACATGGGTCTCCTAATACAGTCTTTATACTTCTCTCCTTAATGTAAGCTTGTGTTTGAGACCTTTTGTTATAAAATTCTATTTAAATTACAAATTACATAGATTGTGTGATGCATGGCTGCACATATGTCACTGTCACAGCCATATAGGGAGAGATGAAATTCTCCCAAAGGACACGATAGATTATGAGAGGACAAAGCATGGATGGCGGTGATTGGGTTTAGTTGAATTCTGTTTCTCCTCCTAAGACTCTGAGGTAGAAACCAAAGCACATAAGAGATATATAAATTAGAATATGACTTTTAAGAGGGATTCTGTTTACATACCTTTTCACCATAGGACATAAAATTTTATGTAATAAATACACCAAATACGATGCGTCTAGGTCTTCGGGTCTCTACTATACCTAATTAAATCAGAGAAGCAAAGGATAAAAATGTTTGAAGAGAGAGTCCCATGGGAATGATACACCCAGAAAAGAGATGGACGTACAAATAGAAGCATTGGGAGATGCTGTCTCGAGACAGGTGACAGTAAACAGGCTTAGGTAATAAATGCCCAGCCACTCATTCAGATTTCAGGAGCATTGTGAGCAACATTGTGTTTTGAAATTCAGCACAGAAATATGCAATTAAACCCTCTCTCTCAGACTGTTAGACATAATTTTACTTCAAACTATGTGTGAAAAGTATATTTGGTAAATTTTACTACAGCTTATGGGGGAGAATAGGAAGAGGATGATGTTAATATGACCCTTTTCAAACTTGTGTCAGGCAGAGATTTTCTTCAGCTGCAAGTATACTTTAAACTATATTTGTGTGCTCTCAATTCTTGCAGCAAGAAAGGCATTATTATAATAATACAAAAGCAATATATATCTACATTTTAGGAGTTTGCATGTCCCTGCTATTTGTCAGTTAAAAATAATTTCCCTTTTTTTCTAGAGAAGAATTTCTGGATTTCATTCTGGATTTGCTTCATCTTATCTTTTTTAAGTGTATTTTCATTACATATCTACTTCCACAGAGCTCAAGTGGGTATCTCTTAGTGTATTTCCACAACTACTATGCTGCTTTTTCACAGGCTTACAGAGAGCAGTGCTTGGCCCTCATACCATGGACCAGGGGAAATGATGTCAGGGGTTATATCCAAGCCAGATATATTCCACAGTGACTTTAGGGAGCCAGCTAAAAATTTGGATGTTTCTGTTATTTTTTATGTGCAGAGTAACAGTATGCATTTCCATGGAAAAAATGCATAAAGAGGAACTTTTTTTTCAGTAATTTTGAATCTAGTGCAGTGTCCTACATCAGACCAATATAATTTTACACCTGAAAATCATGTGTGGAAGAAAAGACGATAGAAAGTTTTCAACAACAGCTACTTTTTTCTAGATCTCAGAAGGATTTTGTAATTACTAATAAGATATGATAGCAGACTTCCCTTGTTACCGGTTTTTGAAATAATCTATCCTTTTTGTTTACTTACACAAATTCCTGAAGTTCCTTTCTCTCTTCTGTTACTATTTTTTTTTCTAAATTATTGTTTTCTGTCCTTTTTTCCATAGGAAAGGAAGCTTCTCAAGGTTCTGAATATATTGAGACATTTAGGAGATAAAAAGCAATAGAGAGTTTATTACTTGTGTGGAATTACTTAATTTATTTTAATTTTTATATTTTTAAGTTGATGATCCAATAATCATCTGTACTAATAACCATTGCTATCACTCAACGATGGATAGAACATGAGTACAAACCCTATGAAATATTACAGATATATCTGGACCCAAGGCACAATTGTTAGGCAGAAAGACATTAAACTTTGCTTTTTGGTGGTGAAATTATGATTTTTTTGCACAAACAATAAATTTCATATATTGCTTTGAATTTTATGAAGGTGCATATGGATTTATAACCTTATTGAAAATAGTACTATGTATACATATATATTGAAGTTGATTAATTACTTATAAAAATCAAATAGAGTTCAACACCTTTAGACAAAATTTACACCTTCAGACAAAATTACAACCATATTTTTTAAATAAGAGAAAATGAGAATAATATCTCGATTCAATTTTCCATGTTAATCAAGTTATTACATGCTTTTGTTGGTATATTTCCTTACAAAAATTCTCAATGTATTTTTTCACAAAATAGGTACAGAACAGCTAGGCTTAAACTTGGCACTGTCTTCCTGTCACGTGGACCTTCACCAGACATCATCCTGTGCTAATGGATCCTGTAACCATGCTTTTGTGTCCTACACTGCTGTAACAGATTTTTCTCGAGACGGAGATAGAATCACAAACATTGTAGTGGAACCTATAGTTAATGAGGATTTCCTGTGGAACAGCTACATTCCAGACAGCATCCAGGTTGACAAATTTTTGTAATTTGAAGCTTTAAAAAAGCTTTATTGAAGCTTTAAATGATTGAAGCTTCACAATTGAAGCTTTAAAAAAGATATATTTATTTGAGCAATACATCTCATAAACGTTTCATTTCAAAAGTACTTAATAAGTTTTTTTCCATTTTAAATGATTCAGTTTTCTATAACTATGATAAAAGCAATTATTTGAAAATTCATTGAGATTGCTAAGCTATTTATTGTATGTCACTAAATACAATTAATGATAATATTTACCAAAAATATCTTTGCTTTTAAGATCAAAGTAAAGGATGTCCCAACTGCTTACTGCTATTCATTTACTGACCCACATATAATTACATTTGATGGCAGGTAATTTCCTGAAAGTTTTTTTCTTTTAATAGTTTTTGCTTCTTTTGGAATTTGCTGTTGTTTTGTTTCTAGTCCTATTCACTGAAAGATTAGAAAGGAAGGCATGTATAGATAACACTGTCTTGTTTCAAAATACTGATTTATTTGTGTGAAATGTTTTTGCCTTAAACTTTAGCCTTTGGTAAATATACAGATTTGTAGTGAGTCTGTATTTGTAAAAATGAAGATTCTTACAAATATGAATAGTCATTTTAATTTGATCATTCAGTTATTTTTAATAATGATTAAAATATTTGCTCTAGAGATATTTACTATATTGCATTTCTGCAAGATACTGAAATAATCTTTTTGATTTAGGCAAGATGATTAAACTAACACATAATTATTTAAAAAGCTAAACACTTCTAAAAAACTAAACACTTCTAATTCATGACAATGATACTCAGGGGGGAAACTATTGTGGCTATCATAAATACCTAAATATCTGCTTCTAGAATGCAAACAAAATGGGCTAAATGGCCAAAAAGTAATCTAAGCTATCTTGCTATTAATATCTGCCTATAAGGATTTAAACTCAGTTTATGCTCTTCTGGGGAATATGTGATTTTAAGAGGTCCCTAAGAAAATTTTAAGAACACCTCTTTGGTGAGTCAAAATTTTCTTCCTGATATAAGGTAATTTATTCTTTTTAAGATCTTTTTTTTTAATTTTTGGGGGGGGAGGGTATTTATTTTTGAGAGAGAGACACACACAGAGTGCGAATGTGGAGGGGCAGAGACAGTGGAAGACACAGAATCTGAAGCGGGCTCCAGGCTCTGACCTGTCAGCACACAGCCCAATGTGGGCCTCGAACTCATAAACGGTGCATTCAGACCTGAGCTGCAGTCAGACGCTTAACTGACTGAGCCACCGAGGCACCCTTCTTTTTAAGATATTTTTAATGTCATCATTGTCTGTAAAATTATTCAATATGAACAAATAGAGATAGAAATCCTCCATCGCAAGTGATACTCCGAAAGTTTGAACAAGTATTAAAAAGTTGTAGAAATTGATCCCACCTTCAAGAATCCTTTATGGTTATAATGAAAACTTAAAACTTTTAGTGGAAAAACCTCCAAGAATAGTGGGATTGATTTAATCAGCTGTAATTCAACAAGATTAATTGTGCAAGGAGTGACAATCCCTGTTCTAAATGCTGGGGGTGTGGCAGGGCATAAAACAAACGTGCCCTCTCTCATGCGGCTTACTTCTCTAAAGCAAAAGAGAGATATGCATGATTAATAAGTAAAATGCATAGTGTATCTGAGTAAACTTATAATAAGTAAGTAAACTTATAAATAAGTTTAACACACATTGTTTGTGCTTAACGTATTATTGTGGTATTTTATACCAATTCTTAACGCAGTTGATTTTTATTAATACCAGGGTATATGATAATTTCAAGACTGGAACATTTGTGCTTTATAAGAGTATGTCACGTGATTTTGAAGTCCATGTACGCCAGTGGGACTGTGGAAGCCTTCACTATCCTGTGTCCTGTAACTGCGGGTTTGTTGCCAAAGAAGAAGGTGATATAGTTACTTTTGATATGTGCAGTGGCCAGCTACATGAATCACAGCCATATTTATCTGTAAAGAGCCAAGATGCAACCAGCAATATCAAGATAAGTGAATCTTACTTAGGAAGAAAAGTCACAGTATGTATGATTCTTCACGGTTGAAAGTATTTTTCCTTTTTTTTCCTACAGATTTTGGATTGATTTCTGAACTTGTTTTCATCTCTATTAAATTAAGAGTTATCTTTTTTTTTTGCATTAGGGTTTTTTTCCCCCTAAATAAAGCTTTAGGGGAAGGATCTAAGAAGGAATAATACCATTTTTCAATTTTCCGTACACATTTAGACACAACATAGTTAAGTCTTTGTCAAATCTAAGCAGCCTTATTTTAAGATTTCAATATGCTAACTTGGTAAGTTATTCCTAAAAAATATTTTTCACAGTGCCTAATAAATCATATATTAGGGATTAAATATATAGTTAAGAATAAATATTCAGGAATAGTTAGAAATATAGAGTTTTCATTCTTGCATCAAGATATATTGAACATATATAAATATATTCAACACACTGTTTTCTATTTAATGTATTTAATGTGTTATTTTATACAAACTCTTAATGCAGTTGATTTATTTCTGTATTGCAGATCTGGTTTTCTTCTGGAGCATTTATCCGTGCTGATCTTAGTGAGTGGGGCATGAGTTTAACAATCCGAGCCCCTAGCTTAGACTATAGAAACACTTTGGGACTTTGTGGCACCTTTGATGAAAACCCAGAAAATGATTTCCATAATAAAAATGGAACCAAAATTAGTTCAACTTTTAATGATTGTGTTGCTTTTATTAATGAATGGAGGTAAGAAAGTAAATTATTTTCATTTGTTATTGTATTCATGTTAGAGTTTAAGTGAGGGTGACATGGGGGCGCCTGGGTGGCTCAGTCACTAAAGCATCTGATTTCATCTCAGGTCATGATCTCGCGTTTTGTGAGTTCTAGCCCCTCATTGGGCTCTGTGCTGACAGCTCGGAGCCTGGAGCCTGCTTTGGATTCTGTGTCTCCCCCTCTCTGTGCCCCTCCCATGCTCATGCTCTGTTTCTCTCTGTCTCTCAATAAGAAATAAACATTAAAAAAAATAATAATAAATAAATGAATGGTGACACAGTATTCTGCGGGTTTTTGTTTTTGTTTTTTTTTTTGTTTGTTTGTTTTTCAGCACATTACTGAGAAAAAAATGTTCTTGTCCAAATTACTATTCTTTTCTCTTTTGCACTTGGAAGGATTTTGCCAGGGAAAAGCATGTTTGACACAATGCCAATTTCTCCGCCATCACCTGGAAAACAATCCTATTGTAGCTGCTCACTGACTAATTCATTATATCCTTCTGATCACCTGGACAGTGTTTCTCAACCAGAGATTGTTTCAGGTTGCAGAGATCTCAAACATGTCAAATTCTCTTTCCTGATACCAGAACTAGATGTCACCTCTGAATATATTAATTCAGAAGCTCTTACCAGAGGGATAAATGAGTATGCATTTGAAGAAAGTAATTTGAATTTCTTTCCTCAAGAAAAAAAGCACGTGAACCTAACCAAACTGGACTTAGATTTACAAACACATCCTGGAAATGAAAAACAAGAGACACCAAACACTTCGGACAATGGGAAACAGACCCAGGACCAGGGTAGCCGCAGCCAAGAGATGAGGTGGGATCCACAAAACAGATGGAAACGGCAAAACATAAATTATGAGTTTCTTCCTATGTTTGCTTTACGAAGTCTCAGCCAAAGTGACCTAGAAGAATTCACTTATTTCTTCCCTGAGGACCATTCTGAGGATGTCCACCAAGAGTTTGTCCCTACGTGGCCCACACCCTCTGGACTCACTGAATACAGCACCTTGGCACTGTGCCAGCAGACTCTTGGTAACTCCAGCATAGGAAGACACTGTCTTGCCTTTCTGGGCAAGAGCCTAGACAGTGCTATAGATATGTGCATTAAGGATGTTCTCCTAAAAGATGATCTTAGCTGGACAGAAGCAGCTGTGGCTCTTTTAGAAAATGAATGTGAAAGGAGAATTTTGGAAGAGGGGAAATACAACACAGAAGAATATGGCAAGTCAATTGAAGACGTTCTCTCAGTGCTAAAATGCCCCAATTTATGCAGTGGCAATGGGCAGTGTGTGGAATGGGGATGTGTATGTTCCCCAGGCTTTAGTTCCTATGATTGCAGTGATTCCCATGGTGAGTAAGTACCCTCCAACTTTGATACTGTGTATGTTATTTGATTATGAAAACTTATTTGTTCTCTTTTACCTTCTGTATTTTGACAGGGTTCCTTCAGATCATGTTGGGAAAAGAATGTAAATTATATTAAGCAATACTATTAGTAATAATTCTTCCAAAGTGTCTCATCTTACTTATAGTGAAAGCTGGGATACTGCTAGTAGCCTATAAAGCACAATATGTTCAGGCACACCATATATCTTCAAACTCATCCCCTACAACTAAAACCCTCACTTATTTTACTCCACCCACTTTGGTTTCTGTAACACTAGGTTCTCTTGACTTCGGGGCCTTTGCATACAGTTCATCCCTCTACTGGTAGAGAATCATTATTTCTCTAGAACTCATATTCAGTGTATTTTGAGTACTGTGTTTATAATATTTTACTAATTATACCAATTTGCTTAATATTTTCTCTAACCCATCTACGTGGCACAAACTATTTTGTATCTCAGTATATAAGAGAAAGAAATTTCTAAAAGTCAATTGGATTTCATTAGCTATTAAACCAGTAACTCCCGATTTTCCTTCTACCCCCACCATCCTGCCCTTTTCCATCTCAGTAAATGTAAACTTCACTCCTCTGATTGTTCATGTTAAAAACTTGTAGTCATTTTGGCTTCTCATTTTTTTTTTCATGCCTCGTGTTTTAGTAGCAAATCCAGCTCTAGATGTGAAGAATTTCATCTCTTTCCCTGCAATAACTTAGTCCAAGCTACTATTATATCTCACCTGGATTATTATAGATTCTCTCAAAGTTTATTTTGCATATAACAGCTAAAGAGATCCCTTTGAAATGATAGTGAGATCACAGAACTCTTGTTTAAATGCCTCTAATGGCTCTCTCTCTCTCCTTCCGAGTAAAATCCACATTCCCTACCATGGTCTAGAAGACCCTATGCAGTCTGAGCCTCCTCTCTCACTAAACTCATCTACCATTCTCTCTGTAGTTCACTGCTCCCCAGTGTTCTTGAGTGGTTGCTTTGCTGTTTGTCAAAGAGGCCAAGCCTGCTCCCACTCAGGACCTTTGAATTTACTTTCCCTTTCACGGGAGCATTCTTCCAATTCATAGATTCCTGATCAACTTCCTTCCCTTCTCTGTTCAAATATCGTATTATTTCAGACTTCTCTCAAAGTCTTTCAAAATAAAGTAGTTTTCTTCACACAATCACATAGTCTTTATCTCACTTAATATAGTTAGTACATATGTTTTCTCCATAGTCTTGAAAACATTTGTGTGATACACTTTATATTTATTTTTCATTTTTTTTGTCCTCCCATATTTGAATGTAAATTATATGAAGGCAGTAACTTGTTCTCTTTACATAGAGAAACCTAGTATTCAGTACCTAGAATAACATCTGGAAAAGTAGAAATTCTTCAGTAAACATTTGTTGAATATGAAAGAATAAACAAATTTTTTTTAATTTCCATAAGCATTTTTAGTGTTCTGAGTATACAATTTATGATTTTATTTTCTCCTGCTAGTAAAGTTATATTCACTTACATTTTGCCAGTACTTAGAGGACTCAGTTACTTTCATATGCTGCATTTATCTATTTTGACAACCAGATCTTGCTGGTACAGATGATGTGTGATCTTACCAAGACCAGAACCAAAGATATAACTGTGAAAATCAGTTAACTCTGACTACTAGGAGAATTTTTTTCTCCTGTGATTGAAAGTACACTTAAGATAATTGGGACATGTAAGATAGCAATAATACATAAAAACATTAATAACATTTTCATTTTCATAAAATTTTTATAATTCTTTTGTTTAAATTAAGATTTTAAAAAATATTAATACGTTACATTGCTAATTACACTATTTTATTGTATAAGTATTTTTCTATAACCCACCTCTATGGCACAAACCAAAATGGCAAAAACAAAACACAGGCCATTGTAGTAGTAATTTTCTAATACTTGTAAATAATTGGTATGAATCATTATTAAAACATCAATTAAATCTGTGTATTTGGGCACTGGTAGTATCTTTAATGCTGTTGTTATTGGCTTGATGGTACGTGACACTTTTTTAAATACCAGGTTACTCTTAATATTTAATAGTTTAATTAAGGTACTTCTACTTGGTTAGACTTCAAAATATTATTTTCCATATGCTTTTAATTTGGACCTTGCAAATAATTAGTTTATTTTTATGGATTTTTGTCCATTTTGTTTTATCATTTTTGTCCAAAGACAAGGCTCCTGAAATTATAGGACTTGGGAATGCTGGATTCTGTAATATTCGAAAATATAATTGTATGACAGTGAGAGTGTTTGGTCAAGGCTTCAAAGAATTACCTTCAGCTAAATGTGAAGTTACTAAACTGCAGGTATGTTAATTATAGTGTTGAAGAACAATTAAGTTTTTGAGTTATTCAGATTAATTTTTTCTTGGATTAATTTGGTCTATCAGTTAACAACATAATCCCAAAGGATGTCAAATCCACAGAGAGCTCAATAAGAATATGGTTACATTGCTTAACCTTAAAGTTTCTTTCCTATTCATTAACCATATTAAAATATTTTCTATAATTTTTATTGCAGTATTGGCTCATATTCCAGTCATAATAAGAAATTAAAGTAATATTAAGCTTGATATGTAAGCTTCTGCATTTATTAAAATGTAAAACCACAACAAATAGAGATCATTTTTGCCCAAGACAAATCTGTATGACTTAGGGGATGTAGAAATATGAACAATTCCCTTTTACCAAACAAAAAGTGAAGATTAATTGCGCTCATCCTTTATATTTCCCTTACTATGGATTTCAGAATAAAAATAGTGTTTTTCTTTCTTGGGGCTACAAACGACAGACGTAATCACTCAGTTTGAACATTGGTATATCAAGCTATGTCTTATTTTGATGATTATTTATCATCAATCATTGGTCTTCCTTTTCTTTATTCAAGTGGGTTTTAATTTTAAGGAAAGCCCTTTGAAAATACTGGGGTAAGCTGAAAACTTAAAACAGAAAATCACATTTTAGCATTCTTTATACTTTTTCTCTAAATTGTTAAAGCTAAATGTGATCCTGGGATTGAGAATTTAAGGAGGAAATAACTTTTGTGTCTGTCTTTTTCAAAGAATTATACAAGAAAAATATTCTTATTTCAGGATTTTTTGAGTAGAGCTTTTCTAAATGAGCCATGAAATATTTTAATCCCAATGAAAAAATAAGACACACAATGGAAAATGGAATGTATGCATAATTTTATTCACTTCAGTATTCCTCAAGAGACTAGACATTATACTGTTTGTGGCAGAATAAATCAAATGACATCACAGTACAATTAAGTTATTTGCCAAAAAGTTTTATAGGTTTGTATTCTCTTGGAAAGTACATTTTGTACTTACTTTCAGATGTATTATTTGCTGTGATATTTATTCTCATATGACTTTTTCTAAATATCTGACAAATAAAGAGCACACTATGAAATTCTCTAACACACTATACAGAACTAGAGAAAGAAAATATATATGTTCACTAGCCAGCGCAAAACTTACTTATATTTTTGCACCCTGTTCAGGATGTTTATTTCATTTGTAATACCATTCAGTTTATTTTTGAATATTTGTATTCCGCTTTAAATTTCCTCCACAGTTTAGTTGATTTTAGTTATTTACTTATTTGGAAAGTAAGCAAAAAAATCATGGTTCTGAGAGTTGGTGCCGTACGGAAGATACACACAGAAAAATATCACTGTCTTTTCATCTATACTGCTCTGTCCATTACCCTTTCTTTCCATTCTTCCCATCTATCCCTGGAGGTATCCACTCTCATTATTTTCTGGTTTGTCCTTACTGCATTTCTTTTGCACAAAGGAACACATGAATCCCTTCTTTTATTACATGAAAGGTAGCATATTATGGCTTCTCTTTTCTACTTTTGCAATAGTAATTTTACACGTTTTTATCTGGAGATCCAAGCACCCAATCCTTTCTTTCACTCTCTGCCTCTCCGAAAAGCAGCCAGAACTTTACAGAATCCAGTTTTTAAATACTTGTAAGATTAAATTCAGGTAGCTTTCCTAGAAATGAATGGTCCTTTGTGATCCAGCTCCTGTCTATTTTTGTAACCTTGAACCGCCTGCATACACTATACTAAAATCTCATGCTGTCTCATGCATCCCTCACTTTTCACTTGCTACTCCCTCCAGCCTCACTGAAGTGTAGTGTCTCCAATTCTGCTCCAGGTGTCCAAACGGCAGTCTCCTCTTCTACTTTCAGGGAGAAAAGCCTCCCTTGACGGTGATAGACACAATGGATTCTTTCTCTTTCACTGAGCTTAACTTGAATCTTGGTTATAGCAGTATTAAAATTGTTTTGTCTGTCCTTTCCTCTGTGATCTTTCTTCATCAGGAAATTCTCAGCACATGTAGGTACTCTCAAAATATTGATGAATGGAAACTGAATATAACTCCGTTTATTCCTTGTTTGGGGTTGGCTTCTCCAAACAGGAGGGGAAATGATTTCTGGACTTGGCTGGAATCTTGTTTCAATACACAAAACCCTGTATCCATCTAAGTGTCCTTATCATGACTGCTCTGAGACACTGTTGTCAGTCACCCTCCGCTAGAGGGAAACCACTGATCTGTTTGGCCAGACTATACATACCCCCCTCAAACATGGAGATTTGTACTGTGGCCTACTCCTTCAATCCTCAGATCTTAAGATACTTCCCGCTAGCCACAGATGAGCATGTTCTTACCTTCCTTTCCTTGTCCTGCAGACTCACAATATTGAAGCATCAACATGGTCCTTGACCATTTCTGAACAATTGAAAACATTATACAGTTATAAACTTAAAAGAAAAATCTAAGTCAAAATATTGGCAATAAAATATATCCTTTTAGCTTTCTATGTAGTTACCAGTACCTAGCAAATTCTTCTGGCTTTTCCTCTTTAGATCATTTTAATACTAAATACATTTTAATACTAAATGTATTTAGTACATTTAGTAATTTAATACATTTAATACCAATACATTTTAATACTAAAAAATTATACTTTAAGTGTAGATTAAATATAATATGCCACTGAGTTATTAAATAGAGTAAACCAGTTAGAATTTAGTTTCAAGTTATATAGATTCATTTGAATTACCTTAATCAAAAATAGGATTTAGTGTGTTTTTCACAAAATCAAGGGAAGAATGTAATTGCTGAATTCTCAGGAACAACTTGAATTTGGGACTTGAACACCACGAAGACTCAGTATATCTGAATTTGTGTGTGTGTGCGTGTGTGTGTGTGTGTGTGTGTGTGTGTGTGTATCTGTCTGTCTCAGTTCTGCTTTTCTCTGTGCGCTTCATTTTTCCCTTTTACTATATACTAGCCTCCTACACATAGTGAAAAATACAGCCACCCACATCTCCATTACTTTTTATCTTGCACGTGAAGCTACCAGAAGTATACTGGCCCAGTATCCCCTCTGGTATAAAGTTGAAACATTCAAATAATCAAAGCATTGACTCAGCTTAGATACGCCCCCAGAGCAATCAAGCATAGTCAGGAAGATGGGTCATGTAAAAACATGAGAAGGCCTAGGAACCATATGGATGGAGGACTGAAAGAGCAATTTCAAGTAAAAGTAGAAGTTTAAGAACTTTTGCAGAGGAAATGAGAGAGTTTCTGGGCAGAAAATCAAACCACTGTGTGTCAGCTACATAGTCAAATGTGTTTCCTCTTGCTACAAAACTCATTACTTGGCGATTCATTATACATGACCAATATTGATAACTTCTTTGATTTACACCTGTAAGAAATGCATGAGGCATTAGAACCAGTTTACATCTAATTAAGGTATATATGGTTTTCATTATTCTGGATAAAATTCACTATTGATGTCAGTTTAATTACTTCATTCATTATATATTCCATTATACCAGCCATGCATTTTTTAAGATTTATATTTTGATTATATGTAGTTTATTAGCAAGGAATTTCCATAATTAAACAGAAGTTAATTGCTTTCTTATTATGCCTTTAGTATAATAGCAGTAAATGGGTCCTTGGAAAAGCTGTCTACACGCATATTGTTTTTCAAAATAGCAGAACTATTGATTGTCAGCTGCCCCCTGATGTTCAGCAGTCTGATACCTTAGATCTGATGGGTGAGAAGCCAATTGCGAAGTGGCAGTTAAAGGTAAAAAAGAAAAGATAGTCTCATATTTATTAATAAAGTAAATATTTATGTATTAAAATTTCATAATGAATTTATGAAGCCACATTTAGAACAAATTATCTTATTATAAAACTACATCTTACAGGTATCTAATGATGGTTACAGGTTCAGTAATCCCAAAATAATGATCATCTATGATGGGGCTTGTCAACTTTGCGGCCTCTATGGAAAAGACTCATGTACTATAAAGGTAAGCAGTTTTTCACTTATTTTCACATTTACATGGTAAGTATTTTCATTTCCCATGCTATTGGCATATTAAAGACATATTAGTTTTTTTCACCTTCATATCAGAAATACTAATAGAGAAAAGCCTTCCTCAAGTTTATATGAGGTTAACTGAAATTGTTACTCTGCCAGTAACTCTTGGTGAAATGGCAAGGAGATTTCTACCTCTAATGTTTTCAAGTGGCTGGTTATTTATTTCTTAAAAAAAAAATTAAAAGGGGAGGTTCAGATTGAATTTTAACTCCTACTACATTCCTTTTAAAAAGTAATAAAGATTTTCCAGTTAGATGTCTCTCTGCTCGCGCCTAATCTTTTTTGTGGCAAATGACATGCATTTTGATGGAGCTTGTAAAATGTGTAAGGCTACCACTTTTATAGGGAGTTTGTGTGTGTGTGTGTGTGTGTGTGTGTGTGTGTGTGTGTGTGTGTGGCAAATAAATTCATTGAACCATGCAATTATCTATTTAAGAGATTACAGAACACCCCAGCCTGAGCTGCATCCTCACAGCCACACCCTCTTAATCTATGTGCAGTCTGTTGGGCTTATCACCATATCTTTCTCATATGCCAGTTGCTGATTTAATACATACCATGGAAGTAATATTACTTGGCTATTCAAAATCAAGAAGCATATGGGGCGCCTGGGTGGCGCAGTCGGTTAAGCGTCCGACTTCAGCCAGGTCACGATCTCGCGGTCCGTGAGTTCGAGCCCCGCGTCGGGCTCTGGGCTGATGGCTCAGAGCCTGGAGCCTGTTTCCGATTCTGTGTCTCCCTCTCTCTCTGCCCCTCGCCCGTTCATGCTCTGTCTCTCTCTGTCCCAAAAATAAATAAACGTTGGAAAAAAAAAAATTAAAAAAAAAAAAAAAAAACAAAATCAAGAAGCATATCAAATAATATTTATGTAGATAAAAATGAAAAGTATCATTATTTTGGATTTTAAATCTTTTTTTTTCCCTTGAGATTAGCAATTAGATCATGTCAGTAAAAAGTTTCTGGGGTTTTTAAATTACTTTTTTAATTTTTTTAATGTTTTATTTAGTTTTTGAGGGAGAGAGAGAGAGAGAGACAGAGCACAAGCAGGGGAGGGACAGAAAGAGATGGAGACACAGAATCTGAAGCAGGCTCCAGGATCTGAGCTGCTAGCACAAAGCCCAATGTGGGATTCGAAATCAAACCACAAGATGACCTGAGCTGAATTCAGATGCTCAACAGACTGAGCCACCCAAGTGCCCCAGAAGTTTCTGTTTTTACAAAGTTGTTTGATTTTTATTTTCCCCTAAATATTCTGTTTCCACATGTCTTACAGTAAGTACTTTTAAAACTTTGTAATTCAAAATTGTTTTACATTGTTGCGACTGTTCTGTTCTTATTTTTGTGCAGTGTTCCAAGTGACATCAAAGGAGATTACATTAAATGGGCAAAGCTTATATATGCTGAATAAAATTTGGTCTTCTTCCCAGGTTGAAAATTATTGCTACATTTAAAATTATTTTTTTGCAGATCAGCCTCTCTTTCCACTATTTTGTATAAGGATATCCATTGTCAAGTGTGGATCATTATGCCAAGGTTCTGGTTCAGTTTTGCTCTGTTCAGAGGACATAGTGGGATCCTAGAGGAAGGGAAAATAGCTATAAACGAATGTGTTTCTGTAAGATGAGCAAGGGGAAAAATTGTTTCATTTCTTTATAAATAGAGCACTTCCAGCCTGACTTAGCAGTAAGAAAGACCAGAAGAAAAGACAGATTGTCTCCCATGTTATTTATAAGCTAAAATTCTACACAGAGATACAGCTATATGTATTTTCTTATTCCTTCCCTCTTGATCAGTTCCATGGGCAATTACACAAAAAGGAAATGATTTGTTTTCTAACACACATTTATGATTAGGACACATGAAAAAATGTTTCCTAATCAAAACAGACTTATAACATGCTTACCCTGAAATGATCAACATATATGATGCTGTCTTTCTATGTACATTTTTTCCTAAACACTAACTATAACAATATCCTAATTGCTTTCCTCTTTTTAAAACTTCCATTAGGAAAATGTTTGCATTATCGATGGGCTCTGCTACATTGAAGGAGATAAAAATCCTACCAGCCCTTGTTTGATTTGTAGACCAAAAATTTCAAAATTTACTTGGTCATTTTTAGAAAGTAAGTTATTCTTTATTAATACAAATATTTCCTCTACAAGATAATTTTTAAGTGATTTTTAAGACACGAGTTACATAAATGTGTTTAAGATGAACACTGTGCTTTATTTAGCATCTTTCCTAACTGCATGATTTACTTTGCTTGAACGTAATATAAGATGACATGTTGTTTTATGTAATTTCCGTGATTATACTATAATACGGTATGGGATTTTCCTTTCAGTATTTGATCCTGAAAGCAAATGTGAATTATTAATGGAAGAAATCAGAATGATGAATTCAGCTACACACAGTTTGTACAAGTCATACAGCTACCAACAGAATGGCCACTATGTAAACACATAAAACGTCCATCAGTGAAGGTTGGCGGGTTTAGTGGAAAGAAGACATTACTTTGAGACCAAAAGCAAAGCTCTGTATCCTGCTCTTAGCCTTCTTTTCTTTTTTGTGACAAGGCATTTAGCTATTTAAATTCCAAAGGCTATGCATTCATCACCTGTTAAATGAGATTATCTGGATTCAATAATCTATTAAGTGCCTTCCAGCCCTACCATTCTGGGACCTCATTAGTATAATAGTGGGTACAGATAATGTCTGGATACTTTGTTCCACCCCCAAAAAACACCCCAAATCATAGTTATGTGTCGTATAACGTCTTCACTTTCTTTTTTTTTCAATATATGAAGTTTATTGTCAAATTGGTTTCCATACAACACCCAGTGCTCATCCCAAAAGGTGCCCTCCTCAATACCCATCACCCATCCACCCTCCCTCCCACCCCCTATCAACCCTCGATTTGTTCTCAGTTTTTAAGAGTCTCTTATGCTTTGGCTCTCTCCCACTCTAACCTCCTTTTTTTTTTCCCTTCCCCTTCCCCATGGGTTTCTGTTAAGTTTCTCAGGATCCACATAAGAGTGAAAACATATGGTATCTGTCTTTCTCTGGATGGCTTATTTCACTTAGCATCACACTCTCCAGTTCCATCCACGTTGCTACAAAGGGCCATATTTCATTCTTTCTCATTGCCACGTGGTACTCCATTGTGTATATAAACCACAATTTCTTTATCCATTCATCAGTTGATGGACATTTAGGCTCTTTCCATAATTTGGCTATTGTTGAGAGTGCTGCTATAAATATTGGGGTACAAGTGCCCCTATGCATCAGTACTCCTGTATCCCTTGGGTAAATTCCTAGCAGTGCTATTGCTGGGTCATAGGGTAGGTCTATTTTTAATTTTTTGAGGAACCTCCACACTGTTTTCCAGAGTGGCTGCACCAGTTTGCATTCCCACCAACAGTGCAAGAGGGTTCCCGTTTCTCCACATCCTCTCCAGCATCTATAGTTTCCTGATTTGTTCATTTTGGCCACTCTGACTGGCGTGAGGTGATATATGAGTGTGGTTTTGATTTGTATTTCCCTGATGAGGAGCGACGTTGAGCATCTTTTCATGTGCCTGTTGGTCATCCGGATGTCTTCTTTAGAGAAGTGTCTATTCATGTTTTCTGCCCATTTCTTCACTGGGTTATTTGTTTTTCGGGTGTGGAGTTTAGTGAGCTCTCTATAGATTTTGGATACTAGCCCTTTGTCCAATATGTCATTTGCAAATATCTTTTCCCATTCCGTTGATTGCATTTTAGTTTTCTTGGTTGTTTCCTTTGCTGTGCAGAAGCTTTTTATCTTCATAAGGTCCCAGTAATTCATTTTTGCTTTTATTTCCCTTGCCTTTGGGGATGTGTCGAGTAAGAGATTGCTACAGCTGAGGTCAGAGAGGTCTTTTCCTCCTTTCTCCTCTAGGGTTTTGATGGTTTCCTGTCTCACATTCAGGTCCTTTATCCATTTTGAGTTTATTTTTATGAATAGTGTGAGAAAGTGGTCTAGTTTCAACCTTCTGCATGTTGCTTTCCAGTTCTCCCAGCACCATTTGTTAAAGAGACTGTCTTTTTCCATTGGATATTCTTTCCTGCTTTGTCAAAGATGAGTTGGCCATACTTCTGTGGGTCTAGTTGTTGGGTTTCTATTCTATTCCATTGGTCTATGTGTCTGTTTTTGTTCCAATACCAGCTGTCTTGAGGATTACAGCTTTGTAGTAGAGGCTAAAGTCTGGGATTGTGGTGCCTCCTGCTTTGGTCTTCTTCTTCAAAATTACTTTGGCTATTCGGGGACTCTTGTGGTTCCATATGAATTTTAGGATTGCTTGTTCTAGTTTCGAGAAGAATGCTGGTGCAATTTTGATTGGGATTGCATTGAATGTGTAGATAGCTTTGGGTAGTATTGACATTTTGACAATATTTATTCTTCCAATCCATGAGCACGGAATGTTTTTCCATTTCTTTATATCTTCTTCAATTTCCTTCATAAGCTTTCTATAGTTTTCAGCATACACATCTTTTACATCTTTGGTTAGGTTTATTCCTAGGTATTTTATGCTTCTTGGTGCAATTGTGAATGGGATCGGTTTCTTTATTTGTCTTTCTGTTGCTTCATTATTAGTGTATAAGAATGCAACTGATTTCTGTACATTGATTTTGTATCCTGCAACTTTGCTGAATTCATGTATCTGTTCTAGCAGACTTCTGGTGGATTCTATTGGATTTTCCATGTATAATATCATGTCATCTGCAAAAAGTGAAAGCTTAACTTCATTTTTGCCAATTTTGATGCCTTTGATTTCCTTTTGATGTCTGATTGCTGACGCTAGAACTTCCAACACTATGTTAAACAACAGCAGTGAGAGTGGGCATCCCTGTCGTGTTCCCGATCTCAGGGAAAAAGCTCTCAGTTTCTCCCCATTGAGGATGATGTTAGCTGTGGGCTTTTCATAAATGGCTTTTATGATCTTTAAATATGTTCCTTCTATCCCGACTTTCTCTAGGGTTTTTATTAAGAAAGGGTGCTGAATTTTGTCAAAGGCCTTTTCTGCATCAATTGACAGGATCATATGGTTCTTATCTTTTCTTTTATTAATGTGCTGTATCACATTGATTGATTTGCGAATGTTGAACCAGCCCTGCATCCCAGGAATGAATCCCACTTGATCATGGTGAATAATTCTTTTTATATGCTGTTGAATTCGATTTGCTAGTATCTTATTGAGAACTTTTGCATCCATATTCATCAGGGATATTGGCCTGCAGTTCTCTTTTTTTACTGGGTCTCTGGTTTAGGAATCAAAGTAATACTGGCTTCATAGAATGAGTCTGGAAGTTTTCCTTCCCTTTCTATTTTTTGGAGCAGCTTGAGAAGTAGGTATTATCTCTGCTTTAAACATCTGGTAGAACTCCTCTGGGAAGCCATCTGGTCCTGGACTCTTATTTGTTGGGAGATTTTTGATGAAGATTCAATTTCTTCGCTGGCTATGGCTCTGTTCAAGCTTTCTATTTCCTCCTGATTGAGTTTTGGAAGCATGTGGGTGTTTAGGAATTTGTCCATTTCTTCCAGATTGTCCAGTTTGTTGGCATATAATTTTTCATAGTATTCCCTGATAATTGCTTGTATCTCTGAGGGATTGGTTGTAATCATTCCATTTTCATTCATGATTTTATCTATTTGGGTCATCTCCCTTTTCTTTTTGAGAAGCCTGTCTAGAGGTTTATCAATTTTGTTTATTTTTTCAAAAAACCAACTCTTGGTTTCTTTGATCTGCTCTACAGTTTTTTTAGATTGTATATTGTTTATTTCTGCTCTGGTCTTTATTATTTCTCTTCTTCTGCTGGATTTAGGCTGTCTTTGCTGTTCTGCTTCTATTTCCTTTAGGTGTGCTGTTAGATTTTGTATTTAGGATTTTTCTTGTTTCTTGAGATAGGCCTGGATTGCAATGTATTTTCCTCTCAGGACTGCCTTCGCTGCGTCCCAAAGCGTTTGGATTGTTGTATTTTCATTTTCATTTGTTTCCATATATTTTTTAATTTCTTCTCGAATTGCCTGGTTGACCCACTCATTCGTTAGTAGGGTGTTCTTTAACCTCCATGCATTTGGAGGTTTTCCAGACGTTTTCCTGTGGTTGATTTCAAGCTTCATAGCATTGTGGTCTGAAAGTATGCATGGTGTGATTTCAATTCTTGTATACTTATGAAGGGCTGTTTTGTGACCCAGTATGTGATCTGTCTTGGAGAATGTTCCATGTGCACTCAAGAAGAAAGTATATTCTGTGGCTTTGGGATGCAGAGTTCTAAATAGGTCTGTCAAGTCCATCTGATCCAATGTATCATTCAGGGCCCTTGTTTCTTTATTGACCATGTGTTTAGATGATCTATCCATTTCCTTAAGTGGAGTGTTAAAGTCCCCTGCAATTACCACATTCTTCTCAATAAGGTTGCTTGTGTTTGTGAGTAATTGTTTTATATATTTGGGGGCTCCTGTATTCGGCTCAGAGACATTTATAATTGTTAGCTCTTCCTGATGGATAGACCCTGTGATTATTATAGAATGCCCTTCTTCATCTCTTGTTACAGCCTTTAATTTAAAGTGTAGTTTGTCTGATATAAGTATGGCTACTCCAGCTTTCTTTTGACTTCCAGTGGCATGATAAATAGTTCTCCATCCCCTCACTCTCAATCTGAAGGTGTCCTCAGGTCTAAAATGAGTCTCTTGTAGACAGCAAATAGATGGGTCTTGTTTTTTTTATCCATTCTGATACCCTATGTCATTTGGTTGGCGCATTTAGTCCATTTACATTCAGTGTTATTATAGAAAGATATGGGTTTAGAGTCATTGTGATGTCCGTAGGTTTCATGCTTGTAGCGATGTCTCTGATACTTTGTCTCACAGGATCCCCCTCAGGATCTCTTGTAGGGCTGGTTTAGTGGTGACAGATTCCTTCAGTTTTTGTTTGTTTGGGAAAACCTTTATCTCTCCTTCTATTCTAAATGACAGATTTGCTGGATAAAGGATTCTCAGATGCATATTTTTTCTGTCCATCACTTTGAAGATCTCCTGCCATTCCTTTCTGGCCTGTAATGTCTTCACTTTCTTAACTACAGCTATACATAATTCCATATAATTGTTTCTTCATTCTCTTTCCTAATCCCAAAGACCAAGCAGGCATTATAAAATACAAGATATAATTACTCCCTCCTCCTACCCCATGTAATTTTAGCTAAGGAATCATAAAACCTTGTATTTATACAGTGCTTTGTAACATCACTATATTATTGTGTATACAAATTTCATTACTGTATTAGACCATTTTTCAGATACTTTATTGTTCAGGTGCAAGACTCATGGGGTGTTATGGGAAGACAGTACAAATTTGGAGAAGAATTAAGTGCAAAAGATAAGGGAAACACAATATAACTTCTGAATTGGTGTCTATGTTTTTAATGGCTTGAGTATGTCCGACTCATAATAGATTTGCAATGTTCAAGGATTTAAGGAGGCTGGAAAAATCATCTATCCCAATTTGTCATATTGAGGGGTGAGGAAATTAAAACCACTAAATTGTATAAAGATATATGATGGCAGAATGGGAGCCAGAACCACATTCTCTTGGCATCAGTGCTTTGTCGATGCAAGCAGAAAGTGTTTGTGTCCAGTGTGATGAAAAAGCCTCTACCTTCCATGTGTTAAGCCAAGGAAGGGGGACATTTTTTAATATGACAATATAAAAAAAAGTGTTTTAAAGCATTACTTGAGCGCAAAGGGAGCCTTCTCTGTCCTCTGAAATAACCACCGTTCCATTATGTGAGCTTGGCAGTGGGAAATGCCTCTGAGGAGCAGAGGATGGCTGTGACTTATATGGCCTCCAGTTCCTACTGGAGAGGCAGGTACAGTGAGGAAAATAAGGTCGGGTGGGGAGGGGGTGTTAAATGAACAATCCAGTCATGGAGAGTGAAGGGGAAATAAAAGGAGGTGTTGAGGGGAAAGTAAAGCTGAAAAGGGTAGAGGATGAAGAAAAGAGAGTGAGAGAGCAAGCAATGAGTTGGTCAACACCAAGAAATAATTTCAGACAGAAAAGGAGATGCATCCAGTCTGGGAAATGCAGATATGTTTATGTATTTTATGCTGTGTTCAAAGTTCTGTTACACCCTTGTAGCAAAGTTTGAAGTTTTGCACCTGTCAGTTACTTTTACATTTTCTAAGAATGCAATTGAATTTATTCAGAATATAAAAAGAAAAGAAAAGAAAGGAAAAGAAAAAAGGGAAGGGAAGGGCAGGGCAAGGCAGGACAAGGCAGGGAAGGGAAGGGAAAGAAAAAAGAAAAAGAGCCAGCATAGGTAATGGAAGTTTTAGGGGAGTTTGAAATTCATCAAAATGTTTCAGTCTGAGGTCTTTGCATCATACTTTACTTTCCCTTTTCCTTTTTCTTTATACACAAGTACAAAGTAATTGTTTTCTCTTTGACAGACAACCAACCCCCACTGATTCAAATGCCACAAGACAAATTAGAGACATTTTTCGGGGAGAACTTTGTGTTCCAGTTCACAGCTGTCGATCCTGAAGGCTCTGACATCCATTTTGCCCTGGATTCGGGTCCCGAGGGAGCAAATGTTTCTTCTACGGGACTTCTTATGTGGAAAGCAGAGTCCCAAACTCCACAGCAATTCACTCTACTTTTTACCGATGACTGCAATGCTGAAACTAGGCTCACGATTATGGTAATATTTATAATTACGTAAATGCCACTGAATTAATTAACAGTATCAGTAACTATTTGAAACTTAAAATAGAATTCTTCATGAAGAGGAACTAAATTATTCAACATTTTGTGGAAAATTAAACTGCCAAAATGCTATTTTTGTCAGAATTTAAAATCTTCAGTAGAGTCTCAAGTCCAGAGCATGGATCTATGTGACGAATTCCTAGACCATTTGCTCCTGTACTTAAGTTTACTTAAGTAAAGAATGCATTCATGTCTACCTGTCTGAAATATCTATGATAAACCTAAGATTGAGAATTATACCCTTTCCTTCAAGTGAAGTCATTTTTTTATTGGCTATTCTTTTGATATTATCAGTCACGAGCTATTAATACTGTTTTTGTGCCCTGTATTCACTTGAAATTTGGGACACATTCCCAGAGAAGTAATGGTATGAAGGGCAATTGTGTATTATGTCATGCTAACCAGATAATTCAAATGACTGTTTACTCTCTATAGTCTGGGATAAGTCATGTGACTAACTGCTTTGCACCTTAAGGATTTTTTTCCACTTGTTCCACTTGCATCATAGAAATTGATTATCTTGTAACATTTTACGTTTTTTTAAATGTTTTATTTATTTTTGAGAGAGAGGGAGACAGAGTATGAGTAGGGGAAGGGCAGAGAGAGAGGGAGACAGAATCCACAAAGCAGGCTCCGGGCTCTGAGCTATCAGCACAGAGCCCGACACAGGGCCCAAACCCATGAACCACAAGATCATGACCTGAGCTGAAGTTGGACACTTACCGGACCGAGCCACCCACCCAGGCACCTGTATCTTGTAACATTTTAAAAAATTATCCATAGCATTTATATTTTGACTATGCTCTTGAAAGTTGGCAAGGTTACCTTATTAAACTATATTTTAAAATACTCTTTTACATTAAATATATATATATATATTTTTCTTTTCAAAACTTGTGATCTGGTCCTACTTCCACCTAAATGTACATGCCTAACACAATTTCTAAGGTATAAACTGAAGATTATTTTACTGAAGAATAAAGCGTTTACTTTTTGTTTCTTTTGGAGGTGACTGTGAAGTCTTGTGATTGCTTGAATGGTGGATCATGTGTGTCAGATATTAAATTTCCTCCAGGAAGTGGAGTGCACCTGTGTGTCTGCTTGCCTGGCTTTCAGGGCAGTCTTTGTGAAGTGGACGTCACCGAGTGCCAATCAAACCCCTGTGGCCTTGGCAGATGTATTAGTGGTTTTCACAGTTATTCTTGCGTGTGTCCGCCTGAACTCAAAGGTAAGTTTTGGTTCTTCGTGAAAGAAATTAGTATGTGAACAAATTAGAAAGGAAAGTTCCTTGGCTTCCCAAGTAATATACAGGTTATTCAAGCATGTGTATCATCCTAAAGATTTTAATATATGTTTTAAAATCTGGTAAAAGTCATCACAAATACATTTGCTACTCATATCCTTCTATTATTGTACATTGCTTACATATACTCTTACAATTTTGCCAATTTTTTATAATTTTAATGGCAGTATTCTATGTATTGTACTTTGCAGGTTCTTAAACATTTCTGTCTATATTTGCTAGGTAGAAATATATTTAAATGTATTACTATTGAAATATAATATGGAAAAATCAAGAAATTTGCCATGAGAAATAGAAACATTATCATTTAAGAAAACTTGATAATTCATTAACTTAAAAAGATCATGATACAATTTTAAAGTGAAATCAAAGGAAATATTGGCATGTTTGCTAACTTGTTAATTATCCTGAAAAATTTTATTCTAGAAACCTCAAATAAGTATATGAATGACTTATAATTTCCCAAGGCTTTTTAAGAGTCATACCAATATTTCCTCTAATTTAAACAGATATAAATGTTAAGTAAATATGCAGTTACTGAGCTTATATTTTACTTGAAGCCATCTACTTTAACATTATAATTGAACTAAGCAAGACATTTATTATTTTCTTCAGCATTTTAAAATAAGAATTTTATCAGTTGGGACTGTTGTGCTACAGACTTCATTTGAAACAATTCGTGTTGAGTGCTTCATGGATCTTACTGTAATGGGAGCAACCATCATAAATGACTGAATATATTCATTCAACTAAGTTTTTAAACATTTCAAAGAACACTTCATCTCAAAAAACTTTATTGAGGACATACTGACTTTCCTCACATGCTGTAAAATTTTCATGGGTTTTCACAGCTAATGCAGTCACCGCACTGAATAAGCTGTCCTTAAGCTAATTAAGCAATCATTCTACTAACTTTTTTTAAAAAAATCATTGAGTTTTTTTGTAACAAAGTGAGAATTGCTGCTATGATATGGTAATTTTTTGCCTTAGAGTACCAAGGACCTTCTGTCGTCTTTTTTATAAGGAAAATCTTATGCACTTGAAGGGTCTTATTTAATGTTAAATAGAATCTAATTAATGACTTAAAAAATTTTTTTAACGTTTTATTTTATGTTTGAGAGAGACAGACAGCGTGTGAGAGTGGGGAGGAACAGAGAGAGAGGGAGACAAAGAATCGAGAGCAGGCTCTGTGCTCTGAGCTGTCAGCACTGAACCTGATGTAGGGCTTGAACTCACAAACCGCGAGATCATGACCTGAGCCAAAGTTGGATGCTCAACTGACTGAGCCACCCAGGTGCCCCTCTAATTGGTGACTTTATACATGCATTCCTCTTAATGTATGACAGTTTTTCTGGAGTTTATGTAAAAGAAGTAAATATACTTTAAGTAAAGTAGAAGTAAAGTACTTTAAGTAAAAGAAATAAAATAAGGAACACTTGATGGGATATACAGTGTTTTTCAAAATAAATAAATTGAACTCTAAATCTGTATTTTGTTTAGGTAAAAATTGCCAGGAAGATGTTGATGAGTGTCAATCCAGACCTTGCTTTCCAGGAGCGGAGTGCTTCAATACCTTTGGCTCCTATCATTGCGGTTCATGTCCAAAAGGATTTTATGGTGATGGAAAGATATGTCATGGTAAAAGTCCCTATTTTCTGCCATGAAATATTTGTTGCTACATTTACTTAATCAAAATCACTCAGTTCTATTACCTCTTTTACTCATGTGTTCATTCAGTATGTATTCATTAAGTGTCATGCATTAAGCTGGATGCAGAGGATGCAAAAATAGGTAAAACATGTCCTCTGACCTAATAGGTTTGAGTGTAATACCAGTATGACATGTAACCACATAGTTTCATATGGTGTTCTGTGTCTTTCATGAGAAGTGTCTGTAGAGAATAATAGGAATACTACACAGAGAATCGTGTCTACCTAGAGGGATAATGAAAAGTTTTAAAAAGCGAGTGTCATTACAGCTAAATCTGATGTATCCAATCAAGAGAAAGAAAGGCTTTCTAGGCAGAAGAAACATCATGAACAAAGGTGGAGAGATATGTAACATCACAGCACACTTGGCCACTATAAATAATTCAATGTGCTTAAAATATAGAGGGTAAGAGGAACTGCTATAAGAAATGAAGCTAGAGAAATAGCCAGTGGCCAGATCACTGAGAAACTATGAGAAATTTAATAAGATTTATATCGGAGAAGTCTACTCGAGCATAATGGTGGATGGACCACTTATGGGTAAGAAACTGTGCAAGCCTGAAGGTGGGAAGAAAAGCTGAGAGAATATTACGAATAAATAGGAAAGATGTAGGGCACCTGGGTGGCTCAGTCTCTTGAGCATCTGACTCTTGATTTTGCCTTGGATCACAATCCCAGAGTCCTGGGATCATGCCCCACATTGGGCTCTGCACTGAGTGTGGAGACTGCTTGGGATTCTTAATCTCTATCTATCCGTCTCTCTCCCTCTCTCTCTCTCTCTCTTTCTCTGCTCCTCTTCCCCCCACCAAAAGAAAAAAGAAAAAAAAATAGGAAAGATGGGAAGATACTCTGACTTTGGGTGAGGAGGTCATGGTTGAAAGAAACACCAAAGAAGCAAGCTGATTGTCCACGGTCAATGATTGGGATTAGCATGGCGAGGTAAAGAGTTACTAAATTCCGAAAGCTCAGTTTACATGAATGAGTGTGTAGAATTGGCATTCACTTTGCTATGCGCTGAACTGTGTGGCCTCAGAATTCATAGGTTGGGTTCCAAACCCCCACTGTGGCTATATTTGGAGTAAGGAATTAATTGAGGTCATAATGAGGACATAAGGGAGGATTAGGATCTGATAGCATTAGTATCCTCATAAGAGGAGACACCAGAGAGCTTATTCTCTCTCTCTCTCTCTCTCTCTCTCTCTCTCTCTCTCTCTCTCTCT